TTTTTTTTTTTTTTTTTTACACTCAGCATAATGCCCTTAGGGTCCATCCAGGTTGTTGTATGTGTCAATAGTTTGTACCTTCTTGTTCAGTAGTATTCCATGGTATGAATGAGCTAGAGTTTATTTAACTACTTACCCTATTGTAGGACATTTAGTTAGTTTCCAGTTTGGGCTTTTTACAGTTGAAGCTTCTGTGAACACTCTCTCATATATATGTGTGTGTGTGTGTGTGTGTGTGTGTATATATATAGAATATATAAAACATAGGTTTTTGTGGGCGAGTCACAAAAACACAGGTATTTGTGTGTTAGATTTGCCACCAATTCTGTGTTTTGGCTTCAAGGTTATGCTGGCTTCATAAAGTGAGTTAGGACATGTTCCTTCTTTTTCTATTGTTTGGAAAAGTTTGCATATATTTGATGTTAGTTTTTCCTTAACTGTTGGAAGAATTAATCAGGGAAGCCATTAGCTTGTGTTTTCTTTGTGGAAATATTTTAAATTATGGATCTAATTCCCTTAAAAAGCATAGGACTTCCATCTTCTTATGACAGTTTTGGTAAGCTGTGTTTTTCTAAGAATTTATCCATTTCACCTAAATTTTAAAATATTTTGGAATAAAGCAATTTATGAGATCCTCATTTTATTGTCTGTAGTATTTGTAGTAATGTCTTCTTTTATATATTTTGTACCTTTTTTTTTTTTTGCGAATGACTCTCATCTAGGGGATTATTATTTTTATTAGTCTTTATAGGAAAATTAACTTTTGGCTTTGTTCATTGTCTTCTGTTGTATGTTTGTATTCTGTTTTATTGATTTATGCCCTTATCTGTAATTTTCCTTCCTTATGACTTTCTTTGGGTTTAATTTGCTTCTCTTCTTTTTTTTTTTTTTTTTTTTTTTGAGACGGAGTCTTGCTCTGTCGCCCGGGCTGGAGTGCAGTGGCCGGATCTCAGCTCACTGCAAGCTCCGCCTCCCGGGTTTACGCCATTCTCCTGCCTCAGCCTCCCGAGTAGCGGGGACTACAGGCGCCCGCCACCTCGCCCGGCTAGTTTTTTGTGTTTTTAGTAGAGACGGGGTTTCACCGTGTTAGCCAGGATGGTCTCGATCTCCTGACCTCGTGATCCGCCCGTCTCGGCCTCCCAAAGTGCTGGGATTACAGGCTTGAGCCATGAGGTGGATGAATACATCGTTGATTTTTCAGCCTTTTATTGTATATACTATTAAGATGGTAAATTTTCCTTTAAGCACAAATTTACATACATCACAGTCTTTGGACATTTGTATGTTTATTATCATTTAGTTAAAGCTATTTTTTACTTTTATTCCTAGTTTTTTGACCCATGGGGTATTTAGATGTCATTGCTTAATTTGCGGACAAATGAAGATTTTATAGTTAATTCTTTTGTTTTCGAGTTTTTACTTATTCTGCTGTCATTGAAGAACATGTGTTGTATGATTTGTGTTCTTTGGTATTTCTTGAGACCTATTTTATGGCCCAGCACATGGTCCTTTTTTGCTCTGAAAATGTATATTCTGCAATTGAGGGTCATAATATTTTTTTCATGTTAGGTCATGTCAGGTCACTTGTTCATTGTGCTTTTCAGATGTTGTTATTAATTACTGAGAGAACTCTGACAATTCCCATCTATTGTGGATTTGTCATTTCCCCTTCAGGCCTTCCAGATTTTAGTTTATATTTTTCATGTATAGATTTTTGGCTCTGTTATAGTTTCAGATTTTCTGCCTGAAATTATTTTTAAGAAAGTTTGTTTTTGAAAGGTCCATCATCTGGGGCCATTTTGGGTCTGTTTCTATTGTGTGTGCTTTCTCTTGATTTTTGATCATGATATCTTCATGTGCCTGGTTATTATGAAGCTGGATTTTTAAAATAAGCAATTGTAGATAATTGAAATTAGTGTAGAGTAATGCTGTCTTCCTCCAGGGAGGATTTATATTTGTTTCTGGGAGGTGGCTAATGGAATTGGCAGTCTTAGATCATTTCAGTGCAGTCAGGGATTAAGATAATTTGAAGCTGGGCTTTCGTCTTTGTGAGAGTCACACTATTTCCAGTTCATCTTACTTCTAGTGTATAACATTTCAGAGGCCCAACCCAGAGTGTGGAGTGTTCACCAGCCCTTCTCTGCTTGGACCTTGAACTTAGTTTTGGACTCCTTGAGACCTGGGAGTTTGTTGGCATTACTCTCTTCAGTTCTTCCATCTCTTCTGGATTTGGAAGATGCCCCTAGGTTGTAACTCCCAATGCAGAGAATTTCTTTCACCTCCCGTATCTTTTTTTTTTTTTTTTAATTAAAACATGGCTTGGCAATGTTGCCCAGGCTGGAGTCCAGTGGCTATTTGCAGGTGCAGTCATTAACCCACTTTAGCCTCAAACTCCTGGACTCAATGAATCCTTCTGCCTCAGCCTTCTGAGTAGCTGGGACTACAGGCATGTGACGCCATGCTAGGCTCACCTCCCATATCTTGATTTTAAAATTCTTCATTGTCCAGGAACAGATATTTATGGTTTGTTTTGTCCAGTTTTTCTAATTATGCTAGTCAGGAAGCCTTTTTGGACTTATTTACTCTCTATGGAAGTGGACCCTTGATATTTTGTCAATTAATGGCACTGAAGTTTGAGAACTACTGCTTGGCTCTTCTCACCTACTGCTAGCACCCTCTCCTTGTTCATTTCACTCCCACCGCTTAGGCCTTTGTGTCATTTCTTAGCATGTTTCTGCCTTAAGACTTTTGTAATTGCTGTTTGTTTTTCTCTGCCTGGGACTCTTTCTCCAAACGGCTGAATGGTTCACTCTTTTACTTTCTCAGGTCTTCATCAAAAGGTCTCCTCATTAGTGATACCTTTCTGATGCGCATGACATATAAATTGTTCTCCATCACACTCACTACCATAGTATATGTTGTAATTAGTTTTGGACAGTATATGTAAGCTCTTTGAGAAAAGGGAGATTGTTTTGTTACCTGCTATGTATCTAGTGCCTAAAATTGTCTTTCACATAGTAAATGCTCAATTAATATTTATTGTTTATTGTTGAATATGTGAATGAATTTATAATGGGGACAATAAAGGTAATGGCTTCATGAGGGTGCTCATGAGGATTAAATAAGTTAATACCTGTAAGATGTTAACAGTGTCAGGCATATGGTAAATATGAAAATATTATTTTTAAAAATTGTTGCCTCAGAAATGATCACTTCTCATTACCAAATATTGTAAAGGTTGAAAACTACCTGCTTTTTGTAAAGCAAGCCCGTTTTTCTCCTTAGGTTGCTATTATGATTAACCCCACATTTTTGCAGCCCCTTTCCAATGGCTGGAATGATAGAATGAAGCTTAATCCATGGAACTCTATGTAGCTGGAGGATTTAGAGAAGAGATCTGTGCATTTAAGCTAGTTTGTGATTTCCAGGCAATCAAGGAACTGCTTTTAATATAACTTAATGAGCAGAAGAGTGAATAGACATAGTTCTTTTTAAACTTTTATCTCTTAAAGACTGCATTCTAGGAGACTGGCATACTCATAGTTTTATGTAATGCAAATGAAATATAATACTCAGCCAGTGTTGCCTTTTGTTGAAGAGAACATCAAGATTGATTGACCTGAGTGGTAAATATTGACCCAAGCAAATGCTGAAGCCAGTGTTTACTTCAAGGGAGAATAAATCTTGATCAGAAAATACATAATCTCATGATTATTATAGGCTTTCACTAGAAGAATCTGGAAATCTTGTGGCATGAGTATCTTGAGCATAATTTTCCTTAGGAAAAACAACTAACTTTTAAAGTGAAGACATAAAGAGATCTTTAAATTACTTGGATAGGTTGATGAACTTTTCTCTAATAATTTTTAACTTGGACAGCAAAGCTCCTGCCTTTTGCTTGACAACATTATAAACTGGTGGCTGCTTTATCCAAGAAACTGATTATTAATCAGTTCGGTTAGTTTTTGCTCAGTGCTCATTATGTTGCTTCTAAGTCTTATGTTAAGGTAGTTTGTAAGATACAAGACAAGGAGAAAATATCTTTGACCTTCAAAGAGCACTGAAGACACACAAGAAGTATGAAATAGACAATGATACAAGACTTTACATTTCTGATACCATAAAAACTCTTTGATATGAGAGAACATTTTTATAGAGGAGGCGAGCTGTAAATACAATTTTGAATAGGATTTGAAGAGGCAGAAGGATATTTTATAGTTTGATAGTCAGATTTCCAAAAGTATAAGATTTAACATGTGGACTTCTAAAGTTTATACAAGTTATAAATGTTAAATTTTAGAGATGTTTGAAATGATATTAAGTAAAAATAAATCCTACCAGAGGTAACTACTTTTTAACATTTTGATACATAGCCTTCTAGACTTTTTCTCTTCATGCATATAATGTGAATATATGCTGTCTGTGCGGCTGCTAAAACAAAATACCTTAGACTGGGTAACTTACAAGTAACAGAAATTTATTGCCCTCAGGGGCTTGAAAGTCCAAAATCAAGGCTTCAGCAGATTTGCTGTCTCATGAGGGCTCATTCCTCATAGATGGTGCCTGCTGTGTATCCCCACATGGCAGAAGGGACAAACAGTCTCTCTCAGGCATCTTTTCAAATTTATAAGGGCTCCACCCTCATAACCTCATCACCTTCCAGGTTCCCCACCTCCTAATCCCACTGCACTGGGGATTAAGTTTCAACATATGAATTTTGGGGGAACATATTCAGACCATACCATAGGCATAGATATCGGTGTATATATATGAATAAATGGAAAAAAATGAACATAAAAAGTGATATTGTTTCAAGATTTGCTTTAAGAAAATTTGTTTTTCTAGATTATAAATAATGGTAACTTAACTGATCAGTGAAAAAGCTGTATGATCCTTGGTGTGATTCCTAAGATTTTCCTACCTGAACATGTTAGATACATGTGGTACGGTAAGGGGATTGTTGTTTTGACTGATAATGAATCCCTCATAATTTTTTTTAGGTGCTGGGTCTTCAGCTCTAAAGAGGCCATTTGAAGATGGATTAGGGGATGATAAAGACCCCAATAAGAAGATGAAACGAAACTTAAGGAAAAGTGTGTAAAACCTTTATTCTTATAGATGCAAACTAGAGAGGACTTGTAGCCTCAGATAGAAAAATTAGAAGTGAAGGTTTTTTTAAAATGAGATTGGTTCTCACTGAGACTGGAGTTCTGTGGCATGATCTCGGCTCACTGCAGTCTCCACCTCCTGGGCTCAAGTGATCCTTCAACCTCAGCCTTCTCAAATAGCAGGGATCACAGGTGCATGCCACCACACCCTGCTAAGTTTTTGTATTTTTGGTAGAGACAGAATTTCGCCAAGTTGCCCAGGCTGGTCTTGAACTCCTGAGTTCAAGCAATTCACCCTCCTCGGCCTCTCCAGGTGCTGGGATTACAGGCATGAGCCTCTGTGCCTGGCCAAAAAGTGAAGAATTTGATTGATTTGAATTAGAGTTTTCAGACTAGATCTTAACTGAGCAATTGATAATTGAATAACTTTTTTGTTTCCAAGCTTTTTTGCTTAGGATATATGAATATTGACAAGTGAAAGTTAATGTGTAGTTAAATAATGCATACCATTTTTATAGTGATGTTAGCATAGTAATTTTAGAATTACTTATGAGGTTAATCTGTGTGTTTTGAAATCCTCATTTTTAAAAAATCTGGTGAATTTACAGCAGTTACTGATTACTTTCTAGTTAATTTCTGACCTCATTCCTCTTTCTTTAACAGTTCTGGATAGTAAAGCAATAGACCTTATGAATGCATTAATGAGGCTAAATCAGATCAGGCCTGGGCTTCAGTATAAGCTTTTATCTCAGTCTGGCCCTGTTCATGCCCCAGTCTTCACAATGTCTGTAGATGTGGATGGCACAACATATGAAGCCTCAGGACCATCCAAGAAGACAGCAAAGCTTCATGTAGCGGTGAAGGTACAGTATTTGTTTTACTTCGCAATGCTTTCTTATTTTATGTTCCAAATAATATGCTTATTTTCCTATAATTATCATTTTTTAAGCATTTTAATAGCAATATTATTATATATAGACTTTTACTTCTGGATAACAAAGTGTTGTTGTAAAATATTATGTGGTAATTATATAAAATTTGGAAAATACAGAAAGAAGTAAAGAAATTAAAATACGTCAACTGACCATTGTTGAAGCAAAGACCATTAGTATTTGTATCTAGTATGTTGGTTTATTTCCAATCATTTTCTATTTTGCTGTTTATTTTTTAAGTGAGCTCACAGTATATATGTAATTTTATCTCCTGTTTTTCTTGTAATGTTTCATTACTGTTTTTCCTCGTTATGAAAATCTTCATAAATAATTTTTAATGGCTGTACGATTAACATGCTGTGAGTAAACTGTTTAATCATTCTCCTATCATTGGATATTTTGCTTATTTCAGATTGTTTCTATTATAAATTTGATCAGTATCTTTGTATATGTTGCTTCATCTGTATTTTTAGAATATTTCCATAGGGAATAATGTCGAGGATTGGACCAATTATGCATGTAGGTTTGTAGAAAATTTCCAAGTAATGGGATCTCTCTATAAGTATATTTGACCTCTTGCAGACTAGTACAAAAATGTTAAAGATCATGTAGACTGAAGATCAGATTCAGTTCACTTAAGAAAAGTTATTTTATGTAACGGTATGGCAAATGATATAATTGGACTATTTTCATGGTCATTTTGTATGTATTATTAATGTAGATGCAAACACCATCCTAACTACTGGAGATATGGCAGTTAATGAAACAAAGTTCCTGCTCTCATGGAGCTTACATTCTAGTGTGTATAGGATGGGAAGATAGACAACAAATATACAAAGAAGCGTGTAGATGTCAGATACTGATGAGAACAATGCATGCAGAAAAACAATCACTAAGCTTTAAAAATACCAAGCACTACATAGTACTTATGCTGTGTCTTCACTAGAAAAGGGATATCTAAAGTATGATGAAAGAGTATGAATTTAAAATGAGGCAGAGAAAGAAAACCAACAATGAGGGGAAAAGTAAATCCAGGAATAAGACTAAACATACAGTTTAATAACAACATACACTGAGAATGAGTCACAAGTTTAGAGCTAAGTTCTGTAGCAGCAGACACAAAAAGCTTGTGAAATATACAGTTCACTCTCTTTGTCTTAAGTACAGAGAATTTGGTTATGAGAGTCACAGTTGTGGTATTTGATCGGGTGGGCATTTCTCCTTGGGTAGATCTTCACAAACCAAGGATATCAGTGATCTCTTTTAAAGGCATCTACGATACAGTGATAAATTTTGTGGGTTGTTTTGTATAGTAACCTTTAACATAAGCTAGTGGCCTCATAGCAAATTCTAATTCAGTAAAATTTGGGAGAGCGAGTAGAGTGGCAAATTTTGCAATGTGACAAGATTCGGATGCTGTTTTCATTTGATGCAGTGATATCTTGTTATGATGTAATGGAACTTGGTTGGACTGGGTATGCTTTTGTCTTCAGTTCCAAATATTATGTTTTATTCACCTGAGCTTTTGGTAAACATGGAGGGGCTGTAAGCTTGGGATTAAGTTAAGCTCCCTGACAAATTTTGGAAATGTAGATATCAGTTATAATCTGAATGACACTGGACCTGAGGAAATTGTTAATGGTTTCTTGTGACTGTTGTGGTGGGTAGATGGCCTTCATACTTTTATTTACCTTGAGTGGCATTTTGGGTAGAATGTGCAGTAACTGGTAAATCTGAAATTTATGAAGAGTTAAGATTTTCCCTTTTTGAAAATGGGATAAACTAAACTTTTGATCCATTAATGTAAAATGAATTATGAATCAGAGTAAACTAGCTTTGAAGGTTTGAAAAACTCTGCTTACTTTCTTTGGTTTATCAGCTATATGATATGAAAACCTATTACTAGCTATCAGTCTCAAGTGGCCTGCAGCCTTTTCTAGGCCTCTCATATCTCAGGTTTATGACCCGATAGCTTTATTCCAGAATTTGCTATTTTGAGGTAGATTGTTCTCCCTAAGGTCTTCATAGATTTTTTTATTTTATGTCTTGTTTTCTAAAAGTTGCTTTTGGCTTTTAAAATCTTGTTATAAATACATAATGTGTGTTTGTTATAAATGGTTTAGAAAATGAGGGGAAAAAATTCATAGTTCTAATGCCCAGAAATAATAACCATTAACATTTTGGTATTTATTCTTCCAAGCCTTCTTATTTTAACTTACAATTCTGACTTCAGAAAGCATTAACAATAAGAAAAATTTCCCTAGGTTTGATGTAAATTACCTGGTGGCAAAACATGACCTGAATCGATAGGGAGCTATTTTTAGTCTTTAGTATTCTATTTAGTGTGATTATTTTATATGTTCCTTTGCATAAACATGGGGCAGCACCTGAGAATCCACTGGGGATTTGGAAAATATGTGGTATATGTATTGTATTAGCTGTCAGAATTGAAAAATTATGAATTCTCATAACAACCTGGCACTGAGGGTTTCAGATAAGGAATGGTGAACCTACATAATGTCTGTAAAAATATACTTTTTAAAAATAGGATCTTTCTTTCTTTTTTTAGATGGAGTCTTGCTGTGTTGCCCAGGCTGGAGTGCAGTGGTGCAGTCTCAGCTCACTGCAGCCTCTGCTTCCTGGGTTCCAGTGATTCTCCTGCCTCAGCCTCCTGGGTAACTGGGATTACAGGCACCCGCCACCACACCCAGCTAATTTTTATATTTTTAGTAGAGACAGTGTTTCGCCATGTTGGTCAGGCTGGTTTTGAACTCCTGAACTCAGGTGATCCTCCCACCTCGGCCCCCCAAAGTGCTGGGATTACAGGCTTGAGCCACCGTGCCCAGCCGATACTCTCTTCATCTAAAAATGTATTATGAATTTTTAAATAGCTAACTCAAAGATTGCTCTTATTTTAGTGATAACATTTCATTATTAGCAGATGGTCTGTTACATTATCATAATGTAACTAATCATTTTGGATTTAGATACTTCCATTTTATTGCTTTACAAAAAATCTTTTTGAACTTGTCTGATGATTCCTTAAGATATATTCTAGAGATAGAATTATTGGGTCAAAAGGTCAATACATTTTAGTAATTCATTAATTTGTTAAAAAAATGCATTGTAATTCTTATTATATGCCAGGCATATATTGCCAAATTGTCATCCATAAAGGTTATATCACATGTTATGCATTGTTTATAAATGAGTGAGAAAGAATTTTGCATCTAACGTGTTTATGAAAGTAGGTCCAACTGAATAAAAATCCTTTTAGTTCTTAATTGCTTGGTGAGGGTTATGTACCTATTAAGACAAATCACACCAGAGAATCAAATCAAAAGAAAAGAAGAAATCAGTTTTGCATGAGTCTGGCCTGGCTGCAGAGCAGCAAGCACCCTAAAGTGATGGAGAATTAGTGGCCAGTCTTCCCTTCACTCTTTCACTTCTCTATCCTGGCAGCCCCCCCACAAAGGATACCTTTGGGTCATAATCATCCATATTACATGAAAAGAATCTTAGTCATTGTGAGGAAAAGATCAGCTAGAAGGGGGAAGGTGAAGGGAAGGCTCTTTTGAGAGGTTCTTAGAGACATCAGATTGCCTGATGAAATCAGATCTCTATCATACATAAGCCATGGATGTTACTGTCTTTTGAGTAGAGAGCCATGATGTGTAGAGTGCCATGTTTTCTTTTCATTCTTGGCCCCTAGTATTTGAGGGTATCATCGTTCTCAGTCTCAGCCTTTGCTAACCTCAGCCCTCTTCCAGGAAGAAGGGGATTTGGTTACACACAGATGATTTCCCAGTCACCTTGTTTCCATGAGTGATCTTGTCATTTTTAAGCTCAGTTGATGTATTAGGTTTGAATTTGTTTGCCAGATACTTGAAATTCACTTTTCTTTGGTATACTGGTTTTTTTAAGAATTAACATGGATTCCAAACAAACTTGGTTCTGTCAAAGAAAACCAGAGCTGGACGGTTGTTAAAACAGTAAGAAAAAAGTGTGTACTCAGGAACTATTACTGCAATAACGAAAAGAGACCTCGGTATGGAACTGGGCTCAATTCCGAGTTCAACATGGACAAGTGAGGATTTGTAGCCAAGGAACAGGGATGGATCAGTGGATGGAAAATTACTAAGAGGAAGCATCAGGATGAAGGGGGAATTTCTGGCTAAACGGGACCTATCAGGATTCTTGCTCAGAGCAGGCCAGGGTGATCAGATACCACCTGGGCAGTGATGGGCATGTTAGTCCATTCTTGCACTGCTATAAAGAAATTCCTGAGACTGGGTAATTTTTAAAAGAGATAGATTTAACTGGCTCATGATTCTGCAGGCTGTACAGGAAGCATAGTGACTTCTAGGGAGACCTCAGAAAACTTTTAATCATGGTGGGAGGGGAAGCAGGCACATCTTATGTGGCCCGAGCAGAAGGAAGAGAGAAGGGCGAGGAGGTGCCACATACTTTTAAATCAACCAGATCTCTTGAGAACTGTGTCATGAGACAGCACTAGGGATGGTGCTAAACCATTAGAGACTGCCCTATGATCCAATCACCTCCCACCAGGCCCCACCTCCAGCATTCGGGATTACAATTTGACATGAGATTTGGGTGAGGACACAAACCGTATCAGTGGGGGATGAGGAAATTTGATCAGATACCAAGGGTGATTAAGGGTGATTAAATATTGAGGGTGAGGGATTCTGGCTAAACCAATTTAGCAGGATTCTTGTTACAACATGGCTCTTAAGGACAAGGCCCAAGGATGGGGCCTAGATAAAAACATGGCTCAGAGGATCCTGTCTAGAGTTTGGTTAAGAAGAGAATCTTTATCAGTTGCAGAGGTCTGAGAACTCTGCTTTTTTGACTTCTTAGCATATGCTAGTAAGTACTCTTAGAATAACTGTTCATAAAAAATGATTTAATTTGAATTTCTTGGTTACACTGTGTTGGACACTTCCCTGAGATATAATCCACCAGTTATATAAAATATTTGTAAACGTATTGAAATACGTTGCTGTAATAATAATAAGCGAATCTGATATGTGAGAAAAGGGTAGAGAGAAGTGTTAAATAATGTATATTAGCCTATTTTTATTGTCTGTGTTAAGAAAAGATGAATGTCTTTAGCTTTTATTGGAATACACAAATCAAACTTATTTGTGATGTTTGGCTTTTGACTTGCAGCCTGTGTTGGCTAGTGTTAATTTGGAATGATAGCTATTCTCGGAGATGCGATTTCTCAGAGAGAGCATACTTACAGGACTCAGACAGTGGAGAAGGTGTTTTTAAAATCAAATATTAATAAGGATATAAACAAATGATGTTAATGTACTTAGTATAAAGTACTACCTGAGCACTTTCAGAACTTAAGATGTTAAAAAAAGGGTTCTTGGCTTTACTCCCAAGCAAATACAAGACATTTATTTATGATAAGAATGCCAAGTTATCCATATGAATTGTGTGAATTAATTTCAAGTTCTCTTGGTACAGAATTCTATGTGGGTCCGTTTTTTGGTTTAGGGTAACACTGTTTTATTTATATTGGCAAAATCCTTTATACAAGATGTGATGTTTATAAAGGCTGGCTTCTCATTTGTGTGGTCACCATAACCATTTTTTGGAACACCTATTACGTACAGTTGTTATTATAAAGATATACGATGTTGCTTTTAAATCTCAGCAACTTAAAACAGTTAAAAGTGCAAACGAATGCAAGGGTCTTTAGGAATCTATCCCTATATCCTCTGGCGTAAGCCTCTAATTAGTGACAAAGCTATATCAACCTCCTTTGAAAGAGACTTACAAAATGTGAACATATTCTCTTGTAAACATCTAAAAAGCAGTATAATCAGGAAGGTATTAAAAGGCACTCACGTGTGTGAGCATGCCTGTGCACAGTCATGCACACACACATACACATTGTTCTTAAAGCTTTATTTCGAAAAAGTAAGAAAAATCCTAAGGATCGAATGAAAGTGTAACACTGGAGGTAGCCATAATCAACCCTTGAGAGAGAAGGATGGAAATACAAGACTAAAATTGTTCCTGGCTTACCTAGTATAGAGAATAAACCTAGAAACTGAATCTTGTTTTTGTGTTTTTTTTTGTTTTTTTTGTTTTTTTCTGAGACAGAGCCTTGCTCTGTTGCCTACGCTGGAGTGCAGTGGCGCAATCTTGGCTCACTGCAACCTCTGCCTTCCAGGTTCAAGCAATTCTCCTGCCTTAGCATCTGAAGCAGCTGGAATTACAGGCGTGCACCGCCACACCCAGCTAATTTTTGTAGCTTGAGTAGAGACTGGGTTTTACCATGTTGGCCAGGCTGGTCTCGAACTCCTGACCTCAAATGATCTACCCGCCTTGGCTTCCCAAAGTGCTAGGATTACAGGCATGAGCCACTGCATCTGGCTGAGACTGAATCTTTTAAGTTTTGATTGTGGTTTATGTTGGAAGCAAAGTAGAAAGTTTTAGATGTTACTTTGTAATTGACAGGCAAGTTGGTTCGAAGATAAAAAAATTTCTTGATTGCCTTTCTGGGCCAATTTCTCCTAATGGATTGAGTCATAGAACTTAGAGGTCAACCAATACAGTCTTCCTGTTTTGTAGTTTGGAAAACTGAGGGCCAGAAAAGAAATACAGGATTAGACTCTCAGATTTTTTCCTTTCTAGACCAGGGTACTTTTTACAGTATGCTATTTCTGTCTGTATCCTATTGGTTTGAACCTAGCTATCCTCTTTATTTTCTCTACCTCTCACCTCCAAATTAAATGAACCAGGAGTAGCGTCAGGTTTATATATGTCATCCTGTATTTAAACTCAATTACCCTGAGAAGGTTTTCCCCATTTTTCCATGGTGCTACCCTGGTAGGTATACCCTATTTAACCAAGGACTTAGAGATTTAGTACCATCTTGCTCTTCCTGCAAGGTATTTTATGGTTCAAACGCTATGAGTTTGAAACTTTTGTTCTCAGTATTTTGTCTATTCTCTGGTTTCTCGTGTCTGAATAAAACTGCATCTTAATGTAATTTGTACAGGTATTGCAGGCAATGGGATATCCAACAGGCTTTGATGCAGATATTGAATGTATGAGTTCCGATGAAAAATCAGATAATGAAAGTAAAAATGAAACAGTGTCTTCAAACTCAAGCAATAATACTGGAAATTCTACAACTGAAACCTCCAGTACCTTAGAGGTATACTTATTTTTTTCTCAGAAAAAAAGTAATATGTATGTGCATTGTAGGAAATTTGAGAGATGTGGAAAAGTATAAATAAAAAGCGTATACAAACCTGTACATATATTACAGAGACAGACATAATTATTATTTTGGTTTATTTCCATCCAGTTTTTTTAATGAATCTCTATAAAGGCAGTCATATTTTCATGCAGTTTTATATCTTGATTTTTTTCACTTTAAAAATATCTGTAAACTGCACAACATTTGAGTATACCCTAATTGAACTAGTATTTCCTGATTGCTGGCCATGGAAGCTGCTTCCAACATTTCATAACATACCAAGACTATCTGCAATAACTGATGGGCAGAAAACTACAAGATGTAGTGGAGGAAACTGGGATTATTTGAAGTTTATGCTAAGCTGTGGGGTGCACTGGGTCATCATTTAGTTGGTCCAGCGCTGAAGGAAGGCATAGCCTGAGACAGTATGTACCTCAGACCCTAATTAAGTCCTGACCTGTTAACTTATTGTCACCAATAGAATGGGATGAAATCCAAGTACTGAGTATATACAATACATTGGGGAGTTCATGGAACCCGTGTTTACTGCAGTCTATGTAAAGAACATTAGCTTTAAAGTAATAGCAAGAGCTTACATAAAAAAATGTTTACTTTGTCATTTGTACGAATAAGTATTTATTAAGGACTTAATTAGTAAACTATTTTTTTCAGTCCATAAATCCCTTTTAATACCTGCTTGGTGCCAAGTGTTGCAGAAGTTGTGTGCAGAGCCTAGAGCTGCTCCCAGGCTAAAAGGGTAAAAAGACATGTTTATAACAAATGGCAATATAATGCGATAAGCACTGTGATGGCAAAATGAACATAATTGTGTCAAATCTTGAAGGAGGAAGGGGTGGTGAGACTCTTAGACATACACTTACACAATCATGCAGAACAACAAGGCTTCAGATGATGAGCTTTGCTGTGTGGGGAAGAGAAAGCATTCTGGACTGAAGGAAGAGGAGGTATGATGACTTTGAGTTGTGAAAGTAAATGTTTAAGAAGTGCCAAGTGGGCCAGTGTGGACAGGATTGATGGGGCTGAAGCCTGAGAAAGCCACACTTGGCACTTCGTGTGATGCTATAAAGGACAGATGATGTCATGGCTGGCTGCTCAGAGGGACCAGTCATTACAGGTGGCAATCACAGGTCAAGATGTTGTTTTGCTGACAATGTTATATCTATTAAAAGAAAAAAGGGCTCGGCTGGGTGCGGTGGCTCACGCCTGTAATCCCAGCACTTTGGGAGGCCGAGGCGGGCAGATCATGAGGTCAGGAGGTCGAGACCATCCTGGCTAACACAGTGAAATCCCGTCTTTACTAAAAAAATATGAAAATATTAGCCAGGCGTGGTGGCAGGCGCCTGTAGTCCCAGCTACTCGGGAGGCTGAGGCAGGAGAACGGCGTGAACCTGGGAGGCGGAGCTTGCAGTGAGTCGAGATGACGCCACTGCACTTCAGCCTGGGTGACAGAGTGAGACTCCGTCTCAAAAAAAAAAAAAAAAAAAAAAGAAAAGAAAAAGGGCTCATTAATTATGAGGTCCAGACTATTAAGTACAAAGGTAATTAAAAAGGAAGAGAGCAGTGTGGGCTGTGAAAAGTTTTGGTAGTGACTACGTTTATATTTTGTTTCTGTATATTGTAGTAATGGTGGGAAGCAAGGAGAAAAGAAAGCCCTTATTTATTTCCTCATTTAGAATAATAGTAATTTATTAAAATTCAGATTTTTTATGACTTGACTCATTTTTGTAGACATGATTTCAGGTTTGGAAAGCATAGAGTGATTACTATAGACCTAGTTTCAAAAATCACTCATTATCTTTTAAAGACAGTGACTAGAAATTTGCCTTGAAATTCAAAAAATGCAGATTATAAAAACTCATCAGGAAGAGATGTTTATTGATGTTATTGACGTTTTTAAACTTGTCCTTAAAAATTGTCCTTTGATAGTTCACCTCTAAAGCGTTAACCACTTATCAAACCTGCACAGAATATTTTACTGATAGAATCTTGATTTTCATTAGGTTTATATATGTAATACTTAATACTTTGGGCCAGGCGTGGTGGTGCACACCTGTAATCCCAGCACTTTGGGAGGCTGAGGCAGGCGGCTCACCTGAGGTCAGGAGTTTGAGTGCACCCTGGCCAATGTGGTAAAACCCTGTCTCTACTAAAAATACAAAAATTAGCCAGGTGTGGTGGCAGGTGCCTATAATTCTAGCTACTTGGGAGGCTGAGGCAGGAGAATTACCTGAACCTGGGAGGTGGAGGTTGCAGTGAGCCGAGATTGCACCACTGCACTCCAGCCTGGGCCACAGAGCGAGACTCCGTCTTAAAAATAAAAAAATAACAAATAAAAAAAAATTAACACTTTTGGGCATGTATTTTGTGTGTTCAGCATTTCTTGTGTGGTGGAATTACAGACATGATCTCTGACCTCAAAAAGTGCTCTATCTTTTGGTTTCTCCTTTCTCAAAATTATAGTTGTATTTTGTGGATTTATTTGCTTTTGATGCTAGCCTCTGTTTTCATTTGCACCTTCATGCTCTTACATGATTTCACTTCTATTCTTATCCTTCCTCAAATCAGTTATTTCCATAGCATATATCTGCTCTCTAACATGCGTTATTTTGCAGTGATGATATCTGTCCCTCCCACTACACTTTAGCTCCTTGAGGGTAGGGAGTGACTGCCTTTATTGTTATTTTAAAATTTCAGAATCCGTAGTCTATAGCCAACTGTTTTTACCTTAGGTCCCCTTAAATCTGTTTAGAGTGACTGAGAGGTGTATAGGAACATTTCCCCTCTAACATCGCAAATTGAGAGTTATTTCTTCCTAACCCTAAAGAAGAAAAATGAACCCTCAGGCATCATGTGAATCCAAACTGTTCTCTTCTTGTTATTAGTAATTTAGAGTATTATTCTTAGATCATGAACACTACAGAGCAGAGCCTGGAGTGGCCCACAGTGGCATGGTTGCATTGGTCTTGAATACTGTTTCGAAGGAAGGCTGGCCAGATGACTGCAACGTTTACTGCTTGTAGAGTTTTTACAGCTTTAATGATATTTTGCCATTTGTGTACAGAGGTGACTCATTCTAGCCCCTGAGTGCTTTAAAGTGAATTTTTGAGCCTCCTCCTTAGCATAATTGTATTAACAAGAAATGCAATATTCTAAAATCTTACTTGATTGAACCTTCAGATTCCCTTTCTCTTATAGGTAAGAACTCAGGGCCCTATCCTCACAGCAAGTGGCAAAAACCCTGTAATGGAGCTCAATGAAAAAAGAAGAGGTCTCAAGTATGAACTCATCTCAGAGACTGGTGGAAGCCATGACAAGCGCTTTGTAATGGAGGTGTGTAGCCAGACACAACCCAGCCTTATCTTTCTTCTCAAAGACATAGATATCCTGAACTTAATGTAAAGTTTTAGACTGAGTCAGTTCTTGTGGCACTATTTGATTTTTGGTGTTTTCTATGTCATAATCTATTTAAATTAAAAGCACATAGAGGAATTGCATGGGGTAATTGCAAGATGTTATTCTTGATTGTAGGTAGAAGTAGATGGACAGAAATTCAGAGGTGCAGGTCCAAATAAGAAAGTGGCAAAGGCGAGTGCAGCTTTAGCTGCCTTGGAGAAGCTGTTTTCTGGACCCAATGCGGCAAATAATAAGAAAAAGAAGATTATCCCTCAGGTATGAGTAAACATTAAACCTCTGCAGAACCTGTGAAAAATGTTACAGGAATTAAATTTTCTTTCCTGTCCATGTGCCATTTTAGCTTTTTCTGAAGTTGTTTCTTTTTCTTGGACTTGGCAACCTTTGCTTTGGGTTAGGTCATGAATAATATAAATCCAATTGGTGGTTACCTGTTCTATGGTCTTCCTAAACAAAATATATATGTACATGTATATTTATAGGTATATGTATATATGAGGCTATTAGCATTATTTGGAGGGTTGAAGTCATTCTTGATGAAGTCAAGTTTTGAGGTGATTTGGACCTTAATGAGTTCTAAGCAGTTTAGTTTGGGGAAGCTGCCAGGAGCACCTGGGGCTTTGCTTTCATCAGCCTGCAGGTGCTTTTCCAGTTCCTTTGCAGTTTTGTCCTTTTGCATTGTTTACTTTGGGTTTCCTTGCAGACCGCATAAAATTTGGTGCTGTATTGCTTCTGTTCATTACTGACATTGGAAATGTCAGCGCTACTGAATGTCCAGGATCTTAGCAAGGTATTTAGAAAAGATGGCCCCCTAATTACATGCTTATGGATATGAGATTCTTCCATCCATTCATTTATGCATTCAAAAACATATTCTAGTCATACTCCATATGCCTGACAGTGAGGGGAAGAGTTGCGTCAGTAAATATAAGACACATTGTGCCTCATGGAGAGTCCTGGTATAATAACATAACATCTGAATATATTATATGATAGAAATTAAAAATGCTTAAACTAATAAAAGGAAGCTTAGATTGTTTAATTCTATGTTAAACATTATATTTAGGTTCCGTTGTATATGCTAAGTCCATTGTAGGAGGGTAGAATTGATCTTATTTTACAGGTAAGGAAACAAGGCCCAAAGAAATGGAAATACTTGCCTGTGGTAACACAGTCATTGATGATTGGGGCTCCTTCTAAAACCAGGTGGTTCTGCCAACGGCCATGGACATTTTACTATTGTGTACTCTAGCCATCTAAAATTTGTTTTGTATTCATTTAAATTTCTTGTATTTGCTATAATAAACACTGCCTACATTCTGGGATCCAAAAGGTAGAGAAAACTTACTTTTACTGAGATGAAAAAGTTTTTAAAGCCCTTAAGTTACACATGTTGAAAACAAGTAGATTTTTTTTCTAAAATCTTCTGGTACATATAGAACAAAGTATGTTCTAAATTAGTTGAAAGGTGATTCTTGTTTTATGACCTTGTTTTATGGTGTTTTTTCCCATATTGCATCTTATATTTGGTCAGTTAATTTTAGTTTAAAAAGCCCATATGCAAATATTTATTAGGTAGTTAAGTCTGTTTCTACTAGACATGAGCTAGATTAGTGTGGAATCACTCTGCTACTGCCAGATTGTTGCTTCCTGACTACTTTTGACTACGTCATATTAAAAAAAGAAAGATGTCTACTTGAAGTTCACTCATTTGTAGACATTGTCCATACTAGAAGCTATAAAACTCATGTGTTCAATGTGCTTGCTGGCCAAGAAACAATCTATTTTGGATATGTGGGTTGGTTTATTTCAGAGAAAAACAAAAACGGCAGTCCCTGTGCATGACACAGTTAACCTTGAAACTGTCTCCTGCCCATTCATACTAGAGGTAGAGGTTATCCTGGAAAGAATAAAGGATGGTACATTTTCAGAGTGAGATAAGCGTATGTGTATTCTGACTCTTCCGGCTTCTTAGACACTGTTGACTTTATCATAGAGTACACTTTGAGGCATTGCACCACTTTCTTGCACCTTAGTTTTAGTGGGGAGTCTTGTTTCTAGCTTGAGTTTTTGTTGCATTTCTGTAAGTATAATATATTCAATTTGAAACTAGACACCTTTTGATTTTGTTAAAATTTCAGTTTGGAAAAGGGGTTTTTCAACAGTCTTGTTTACTTCTACTCCCGGTATTATCTGTTGTACTTTTAGAATGTTTTTATATTTGTTCTCTCTTGTTCTTTCTACTCTAAAGTAAGGAAAACAAAGTATCGTTATTCTCATTTTATAATTCTCGGTTACTCTTTCTACTGTAAGGAAAACAAAGTGGGTATCATTATCCACGTTTTTAATTAGTGGGGAGATTTCCATAGATTATGGCATTTTAGAGCAAGAAGGGGCTTTCAAAGTGGTATTTATTTATTTAATAATGGGGCCAGACGCAGTGACTCACACCTGTAATCCCAGCACTTTGAAAGGAAGCTGAGGTGGGCAGATCACTTGAGGTCAGGATTTCAAGACCAGCCTGGTCAACACGGCAAAACTCTGTTTCTACTAAAAATACAAAAATTAGCCAGGCATGCTGGTGGGTGCCTGTAATTCCAGCCGCTTGGGAGGCTGAGGCAGGAGAATTGCTTGAACCTGGGAGGCGGAGGTTGCAGTTGAGTAGAGATCACACCATTGCACTCCAGCCTGGGTGACAGAGCGAGACTCTGTCTCACACACACACAAAAAAGATATTTAATAGTGGATACATGCATAGACAAACAGCAGAGGAATCGGGCTCAAAGAAATCATATTACCTTCCCGAGGTCACAGTTACTTAGAGCAGGAACTGGCATCCTCATCTTTGGTCCTCCTGTCTTAGCCCTTTATGTTTTTCCCCCACTAGCCCCACTCAGATTTGCAGTTAATTCTATGTAGTTAGTTGCTGAGATATTTTCTGCCTGTAGGCAGATAATTTAATGGATTTGGAACCTAGGTACCAAGTGTGTATGATTACTTTAGTAAAGCCTAAAATGACTTTGGTTATAAATTGATTACTAAAATTTGGTGTAGAAAATGAACTCTTTCTGGGTAACACTCAAGCGAAAAGAAGTTATTTGCATGTTCTCAACATCTCTGTAAGGTAGGTATCATTTTTGTTTTTCAGATGATAAATTGAAGGTTCAACATCACAGACAGCTCATGGTCTCACCCACGTGCTCACAGTTTCTCATAGTGGTTGTGCATTGAAGAGAAGATAGAAGAAATAAGATGGTTCTTATTTCTTTCAGTAATGAAAATGTGTTATTTTAACAGGCAAAGGGTGTTGTGAATACAGCTGTGTCTGCAGCAGTCCAAGCTGTTCGGGGCAGAGGAAGAGGAACTCTAACAAGGGGAGCTTTTGTTGGGGCAACAGCTGCTCCTGGCTACATAGCTCCAGGTATAGTACAAACTGCAAGAGATTGGCCCCCTTTACTGGGCCAAAATTCAAAGAATAGCATCCCCTTCATTTTCTGAGTTTGTACAGGGTTTGTGGAAATATAAACACAGGTGTGAATGTACACAGAAATTTAAAAGTAGAGAATTGACACAATGTCATAGGTGTTCTCTTGGAATCTGCTGAGTGAGGAGAGGCTACCTGGAGGGAGATGACAGATGAGCAATGTTGCATTTGGTTGTGGGACTGTATTTTGACAAGGAATTAAAGGATGTTCGATAGACTGAGAATGTGGATGTCTGAGCAGGGTGTATTCATTGAGGACATAGATGACAGGTTGGGTATAACAGGAGAGAAAAACTACTAAGAGGTTACTTAATTAGGGTGAAGCCTGGCATTATTAGTGTTTGCTAAACTTAATGTTTGGGAACCATCAAAGACTAAAGAAGTACACAAAAAAAAAAAAAAAAAGAAACATTTATCCAGAGCTTACTGTATATACTAGATATTTCCATGTAAATAATTTTACTTATTAAATTGTTTTTAATTTAATTACTTAAATTTAATTGTTTTAAATCTTCGTCAGTGTTTCGTCAGGTAGAAATTATTTTCCAAGGAAGGGAAGCTGGGATTTAGGGAGATAAGGCAGCTAGCTCAGGGTGAAGCAACCACTAAACCACAGAGCAAGGATTTGAATGTAGGTGTTTGCATTTCCAAAGTTCATATTCTTTCCATTCCACCACATAGCTTAAAGAAGATTTGGGAGATGTCCTCTCTCTGCCTTCCCTTCTAATTCTTATGTCATTTTAACAGTAGATTATCCAGCTGTCTTGTTAAAATCAAGTTCTTCACAATATTGAAAGTATAGTACTTTTAACTGGACAAGTAAACCACTTGTAGATATTGATCAAGATGAAATTGTCATGAAGATTGGCTCTTATCCAGTCATTGTTTTTTAGGTAACATCCCTAAGGGTTCACTTTGTGCTTTCCTCTAAGAAAGAATAAGACTAGGCCATTTGGGAAATTTTATGATGTGGCTTTGGAGTGATTCTTCTAGAAGCTGATCCTAGTAGGTGAACTGCTCAAGGAGTGTGCCTGCTTTGGCACACAGCAGACATGGATTTTGTTCTCATGCAGCTTATAGTCTGAAGGGTGAGACATAGATTAATCAAGTAATAACAACGAGAAACTGAGATGAGTACGATGAAAAAGAAGGACATGCTGCTATTACAGCATGTAACAGAGGAACCTGGTCTAGTTTAGTGGGTCCCTGGATGCTTCCCAGAAGAAGGGACATTTGAATTGAGCTTTGGAGAATGAATAGGAGTTAACTCAAAGAAGACTGGGATGGGAGAGTGTTGCACACAGAAGGAACGGCATGTGCAGAGACCCTGTGTTGCTGTCGTTAGGGAATTTGGCTCAATTGAAGAAGCAGAAGTCCAAAATGTGTGGAATGTGGAGAGCACTGGGCGGCAGAAGTGAAGAGACTGGGGAATGATGTGAACTGAAGCTGGATGACTCAGTCCCAGACCTGGAGGCCGTTATTTGGATTTTGGTCTTAGAACCCAAAGCACAGTATTAAGTCTTGATGGATTCGGTTCTAAGGAGAACAGTAACAAGATCAGACTTTATTTGTGAAGGTTAGTCTTTCTATAGTGTGAAGAACAGGTTGTAGGGATAGGTGTGAGCATTGCCAAGATCAGTTAGAAGGCATATAGTTTACAGTAATGTATTGTACATTTCAAACTGGCTAGAAGAGAAGAATTCAAATGGTTCTAGCATAAAGAAAGGACAAATATTTGAGATGATGGGTATCCTAAGTTCACTGATTTGATCTTTATAAATTACATGGGTATATTAAATTATCACATGAACTCTGGAACTATGTACATCTATTATGCCTCAGTTAAAAAAAGGCTACTGAAGACTACTAACCCAGGCAAGAGACATTGATAGTATTGCTACTGGAGGCAGGGAAGAAGATAGGGGGAGATAAGAAGAGAACAGATGGGAGGAATATAAAGGAGGCAAAATTGATGTATTGAATATATAGAAAGAAGAGTGATATTTCAAGGATATCTCAACTCCTAGGACTTTTAGCTGGAGCACTGGGGGGAAAAAGGAAAAGATTATGAATTTCTTATGGTGTGATATAGTTTATGTGTCTAAAATTAAGACAGTCTTCTGTGTGTCTCACTATTTCTACTGATATTTAATAATTTTAGCCTTATTCAATGTATTATTGAAAGGGCAAAGCTTTCATTCACAATAATGGGCAGGTTATAGAGATGAACCATCTTTCTTGTCTTTGATGATGTGTTTTATTGGGGCTTAATCTGGTCCTGTCTCTTGTTGCTGCGGACCATTTACCGCCTGCTAGAGTGGTAAATGGCTGTGGTCCAGTGGCAGTAATCATGAAAGGAACTGTTTATGGCCGCTGGTTGCCAGGCTTTACTCTATAGTAACTCCTCTCTTGTGTCATTGCATTGACCTCCCTGAAAGGCCTGTCTCCCAAAGCTTTTTAAAATGAAGTTATTTTATGGCCTAGAAAAGATTCAGATTAGGTCCCTTTAGATTATGAATAGGTTATATGCCATTTGCAGAGTATATTCTGTGCAGCAGGGACTGCTGTCAGTGTATTTACATGTATTATTTAATTAAATTCCCCTGGCAACTCAGTTACTGTACGTAGAACACTGAAGCTCAGAGAGGTTAAATAACAGGTGCCATTCACAGACGCCTTTGCTAGTAAAAGGTGAAGTCAGAATCAGGACTCCAATGGCCTGATTAATGACCTAGTTAGTATTTACGGTCTCATTTCTTCTTAAGGAGGTTTTGGTATAATCCTTAGAACTGCAGCCTTAGCCAAACAGCTTCTGCTTTCTGGAATAAATTTGATAGCCAACCTTTTTTAAGCATTAATTTCTTTTTTGGCCTCTGATCTGTCTCCTCTTCCTACTGCTTATTTCAGCTACATATGTCCTCTTGTGTATGATTTAGTGAGCGCTCAGCCTGAGTTAAATGACTTATAACTGTAGACTAAAAATTTTTCATCCCTCAGAACTGTTTCAATTGGTCCCTAAAAGCAGTTTACTTCTTCAGCATACATTCAAATGCACTGTCTCAAACAGGAGATTTAGAACTGGGCATTCACAGAAGACCTAGCCTCTGCCCCAGTGACTGTCTGGAGTAGGACCAGATAATTGAATAAACACAATGCAGTATGATGCAAGTGTAACATGGGTTGGGCAAAAGAGAACAGCAAGTCTGGGAGACTTCGTAGAGGAGGTGATAATTGATCCTGGTCTCAAGGGTGAGTTGCAGTTGGTAATTCAGAGAAGGAGGGAACGAAATCATTCTGAATAGCAGAAGTGGTTACAAAAAAAAGGAGTTGTAATGTGAAAAAGCGCCATTTGTTTTGGGTACTGTGTAAAAGTGCCATGGTGATTTTGTGCCCTTGTTCTACTTTATAAATATTTTTCATTAATAAATGAATAATAAGTTGTTATTATTGTTATTATTGAGACATGATCTCTCTCTGTTGCCCAGCCTGGAGTGCAGTGGTGTGATCATGGCTCACTGCAGCCTCGACCTCCTGGGCTCAAGTGATCCTCCCACCTCAGCCTCCTGAGTAGCCAGGACTACGGCATGCACCACCATGCCCAGCTAATTTTTTGTTTTTCTGTAGAGATGGGGTCTTACTCTGTTGCCCAGGCTGGTCTCTAACTCCTGGGCTCAAGCAGTCCTCCTGCTGTAGCCTCCAAAATTGCTGGGATTACAGGCATGAACCACCACACCTGGCCCCAAGTGGTTTTTATTTATATATTACCTATATCTAAGCTCTTTTACTGAAAGAGTAAAGATTGCAGCTTCTGTTAATATAGATAATATTTCTAATCCCTACTAATATGGTATAAAAACTTCTTTGTACTAGCTTTTACTTAATAATGTGGGCCTTTTTCATAGGTACCAGAGGCTGATGTCAAAGTCACCAGCATTTACAGAGAGACCCTGTACTTGGGCCCGAAATTGAAATATCAGCAAGTCATAGACCTTGTCCTTGGGCTCACGACCTGACTCATATGCCCGTTTTAATGACCATAGAGACCTCAGCCTGCTCTCTCACTACTTTCTGAAGAGACTTGGAAAGTTCTGTTTGCCAACTTTGAGAAATTGGTAGTTTGAGTGGTTTTAAGTATTCTTTTGTTCAACAAAGTATATTTAGTGAGTGGCTACTATATATATCATACATTCTGCTAGGTTCAGATGATGCAATGATGGATAAGGTTGGCCAGGTCTCTGCTACTCTAGTGGGGAACACAGACAAGGAACTGATAGTTAAAATAGAATGTGGGGTCAGTGAGTGCAGTGAGAAAGAGATGTAGGAGAGTCTAGCTTATCTAGGAGAGTCTTGTAGGCCATGGTGAGGAGCTCCCACATCTTAAGCAGGCACACAGAGAGTGGCTAGACTGGGACCATTCTGGCAGTGGTTCTCATTCATCAAACATCTGGAAGAAGTCCTTCGGGCCTAGGGTGCTGAGCAGGTGGTGCTTGTGAATTGGGCCAGTGATGATTGCCCTGGGTCTTGGACTGATCTGCCTCCTTCTTCTTTGCACTAGGCTATGGAACACCATATGGTTACAGCACAGCTGCCCCTGCCTATGGTATGTACACCGTCTTACTGATATCTCCTCTTAGCGACTGTCACAGCAATCCAAAGCACAGTTTCTATCTAGGGTTTTTGTAAATTAATTGGAGGATCTCAGATTTATTCATTCTAGTGACCCAACTTAAATTCCCTTTGAAAATGCCACAACCTTGTGGTTCTTGGTTTGGTTGGAGTTGCTCTTCTCTCCGCTTTGCCTGATTGAAGGACTGCTTGTTCTAATTGCCTGTTTCTGACCATATTGAAATTAAATATTTTAAGTAGTTCTTCTTACAGCCAACTGATACTCCATTCAAAGGCTACTGAAGGGCCATACCCAGTTGCTAGCTCGGCTGCCTACCAGTTATAAAGCCACACTTAAGTTTCTGGTTTGGAACCGTGTGAATTGTGGGTAACTTAAGTCAAGAATAGGAACTGCTTACTTCAAATTTGTAGTCTTCATTCTTTTCCATAACTTTGCTTTGGGGTTGAACTAAATGGGTATCATTGGCCCTAGAGAGGAAGTGATAGTGGGTTTCACCAGCAGTCTTAAGTGCTCACTGCAGGAAGTCTGTAGTACATGCTAGAGTATCATAGGTGTTTCTCTCCTCCCCTCTAAAATAAAAAAAAATAAAAGCAAATGCATAAATGAACCCCAGTGGCCCTTTGGATAACTTTTGAATGAGGTTTATGTGGCAATGGAGGCAATAGGTTTGGAGTCAGTGATATGCTCTTAGACATTTTTTTTCTACTCAGGTGCTACATGTTATAGAATCAGCCATCTGCAGGGTGTTGTCATTGAGAGAGGAGAGCATGAGAGAGTGTATGTGCAAGAGTGTGTGTGTCAGCATGCCCCAGGCTGGGTGTGCATGCACACAGAAGGGAAAGGCTCTTCCCATATTGCCAGTCTCAGCGTTAGTCCTCTACGTGAGCCTCAGACCTTCGCGTTGTGCTTTTTCTCTTCACGCATCTGCTTTGCCATTTTTGTTTGGATACAAATTGTGTTCCTAAAACCCTGCTGAACTGAAGCTTCATCTGATTTTGTAACTGGATATAAGTAGAAAGTGAATAGTTTGACCAGTTTGACCATTAAAATAGTTTATATCCTAGAAAGATGTGAAGCTATGAGGGTCAAACATTCGGAGCAAATTTTCTTTTAGGCAAAGTGCAGAGCCTGGAGCTACATCCTTTAAATCTTCTGGCACACTCAGGTGTGGTCAAGGCTTCCCCATATTTTGAACTGAGCCATATTGGGTAACTAGGAATTGGAGACTAACGCAATAATAAGCTTACCCGGATTTCCTTCTAAATTCAAACTCTCTAGTTCCTTTGGGTTTGGCCATTTGCTTTTAACTATTCAGCTGGCTTCTGGGTCTCCTGACCACCTCATCCTCTCTGTGGTTTAGGTCTGGTCCGTTTATCCAAATACATTTTGGCTCACTAGACTCACTGTACTATGTCTTGTATAAGCGCCAGCGCATCTGCTGCTTGGGGCAGATATTTAAATCTGTGTCTTTCTTTTAGACATACAGTAAGTTTCAGATTCCTCAGTAAAGGTTTGCTAGAGTTTGATTTTTCCTTTGAAAATACTTTTGTATCTAGATTCTAAGTTACATTCCTGTTTTTCCTCAGTCTTTTTTTCTGTCTTGTTCTTCCCTTTCCTCCTTTAACATTACACTTTCACCTTGTGGCCTCTGAGCCCCCACATCAGAAGCTCCTCTTTCCCATGTGCCATATAACTGACTTCCAAAGCTGGTGAAATTTGATGCCCCCATTTTTCACATAAAAGATTTGGTTTTTAAATGTTACTGTGATGCAAACCTACTAAAACGATGCTTTATTTGGCTGTGAGGTAAATATGTCTTTGGCCTTTGTGAAGCTGTTGCATGTGGGGTGGTCTCCCTCTGGTCATCTGGTGCTCTTGAACACCTGCTGTTGCTGCTTTGTGATTTCTCTGTAGGTTAAACAGTAGCATAGGGATAGGAGCAGATTTCAAATCATGCTTGAGTATGCAGAAGTTTGTGAGGCCACAAGAACGTATTAATTACAAATTCAGAAAGCAATTAATCTTTCCAGATTTGCCATGCTAATATTGGCCATAGCCATTAAGAAGTTAAATAAATGCCTGGCCATGGCTCCAGCTGGAGCTGAGGTCTGCATGGAAAGCTATGCTTTGAACCTTGACAACCCGTTTCTCCTGGAATATATGATATGCCACATTGAGAACCAATATGGATTTCTACAGTCAATTTAGAACATCATTCAATAGCATTGCTTTTGATTTTCAGAATTCATGGCAGCTCACTCAATGAAATTGCTTCCTAGATGTAGCCATCCTGATTTTGAGAGTGGAAAATATTATTTATCAAAATATTAAGAGCAATTTCAAAATAGATCTGTGAGTGATTTGTGGGCCTCTTGCAAAATGGTATACATGTTGGCTGACTGATCTGGAAAAGGTTAATGATAATTACTGTCAGATATTTTCTTACCTGAAATTTTTATTGGAGTATTACAACTTATTTGGAGTCCTCTCCGTTTGTTTTCTCTGTAGGTTTACCCAAGAGAATGGTTCTGTTACCCGTTATGAAATTTCCAACATATCCTGTTCCCCACTACTCATTCTTTTAGCAAATGACAGAAGCTAATTCCTATTGAACAACAATACAGTACAATACAGAATGTTAGAGAAAAAGCCTTTTTATCCTGCTTTCTTTGAACACATACTTGATCAAAATTATTTGTAAAGAACATCTTTCCTACTTTTTGATTTTAACAAATGCAAATTTAGTTCTCTAAAACTTGAAAAAAAAAAAAAAAAAAAAAAGAAACCAGTTCTGTGAAAACGGTACCTCATTTCTGGAAAATAACTTATACCAGCCCTTCTGTTCTAGGGAAATAAAAGTCTAGCAGTTGAAAGTTTAAGTTTTAAGAGACGTATCAGATTATGTAAAATTAAATTTGTGAAGGATGTATAGAGTCTCAAACACGGATCACAAATAAACTGCTTTGTTGTAACACAGAGTACTGCCTGGTTCCTGATGCAGTCACTGATTCTTAGTTGATTGATATGTATTTGCCCCAGGGCACTTTAATTTGGGCTGTAGTTATTTTTTTTAATACAATAGAGACTTTTCATTTAAACTTTAACTTTGTAAATATTGAAGTGTGTAATAAAGCCAATAAAATATGGGTTTGAATATTGTTTTAGCTTATTATTTTTGATATGTTTTGGTATCAAATTACAAGGAATTGAAAACTAATAACTTAGCCCTAGAAGCCCATTCACTTGTAAGCAAACTGCTAAAACAAAGCAAAGGTGATTGTTAGTTTGAGCCAGTCTACTTACTTTGTAAGCCCTTTGTCCTCCTGTTGTACAAGGGCATCCCCATGATAAAGGTTCCATTTTGTTATTCGAGCATCGCTTATTAAAATGATGGCACTACCCAGAGATGGGGAAGGAGAATGTGATTATCCTAGTTTATGAATTTCCAAGTTTTTAAAAATAATAAATTAATCAATCAATCACCCTCTCTTGTTCTTGTGGCCTTCTTCACTCTGTAAGATATTGTGTTCACTCCCTGGCTTTTTCATGCAGATAGAAGATTAGCGATTTTGCTGGGATTCATTGAAGGGTCTCCTTTCCTCTTCAATTACATCAGAATCTAAAGCAGCAACAGGGTCCCCATAAAAACTTGCTCTTCGATTGTCCCAGTTCTTGTTGAGTGCTGCTGTGAAAAGTGACAGGTTTCAGCCATGGGTCAGCATTTCTTTTTAAGACACCTGATGATGCTGGTGGAAATGGATCAGTGGGTAACATTGTGCTGTTCTGTAAAGGGTGCAGACATAAGTCCTCCACTTGCATTCTCACCTTGTTTGGAAAGCCAATGATGTTACTAGAAGGTAAATGGTTTCATTAAGGTACTCACCCCCATGAAGGAGCAGCAGTGTGGTCCCCTGTCAATATTTATAAGGCACCATGTCTTAAAAATGTCTGTTTGTAGTATGAATTAGCTTTCGTTTTCCCTGTTAAATTCTGCTTTTGGGAACTTGACAGGGCCCATCCATGAGAATGGGCTTCACAAAATATGGCAAATTTATGTACCAAATTTCTCTGGGGCCACTAAATAAAGGTGAAACGGGCAATGTACAACAAATGTTAGTGTCACTGCTCAGATATATATTACACAATGATTAGTTTGTTTCTTCTCCTTGGTCTTTTGTCTTTATTAGTGGTGGGTGATACTTTAATAAAACCTCATCACTTGCTGGAAATAGCTGTAACTTATCATTCTCATCCTGTGCATTAGTGGCTAGACATAAACAAGAGGGCCCATTTCAGCTGGGAGTTTTCATGTTTCATTGATGCGTTTTGCTGACCTATGGATGAAACAGAGCCATCACTGAGAAGAAAAAGCATGGCTGATAGTGTCCAGTTTTTATTAATTAAATCTTTACAGTAGTCCTCATTGTCTTTGGAATACTATTAATTGGCAGCTGCAGCTGTATTGTTATTTGAAATTGGTCATCAAATTTGGATTCCACGTTGGAATCTCTCTAGAGATTTCTCGTTAGAAAATTCTTTTGAAGTAGCTGACTCTGCTTCATAACTCACGCCCTCTGTAATGGTGAAAAGGGAGCTGTGCTGTTTTCCAACATGATGGCAGTCATTTCAAATGGTTTCTACCAAGTCTTTTTTTTTTTTTTAATTTTGTTGTTTGTTGGAAGTTACTAACCATGTTGTAAACCTGCCCAGTTGCTGCAAACTTTTACATTTCTCTGCTTTACTTAAAATAATCGAGCTGTCAGTCCTTTGTTAGAAGTGGTAACCATGCAAGTTCAACTGTTTAAATTCTGTAATGAATTAAGCGTTTCCCCCCCTCCACCTGTTGCCCTTCCTACCCTTCCATTTTGTAATGAAAATTCCACTTACAGCTGAAAGAGCAGAGAAATATAAATGAAGCTCTTGGCTTCACCAAATTGCCTGAAATTAACATAAAGTTTTGCTTCTCTGCTCTTTTCTCCACTGTAGGTGGTTTTTTCATTGACAGCCCCTATTGCCAGCCTCTGAGCGTCGCACCATTTATTATTCACTTGGGCCCTCAAGATTTCTTCTCTGACTTCTAGAACCATCAGGTTGTCTGGCTTGAAATGGCAATTTCTATGTCTTGGTCTTAAGAGCAATGTGACACCCTGAGGCTATCCAGCTTTCAGACACCACTCTGACACCTTCTTTTTGAAAGCAATGACTGATCATTTTAAAGAAGAGCAATACTCTGTTCAAAGCCACGGTGTCTGTTTTAAAACTTTTCCTTTGGAAACCTAGCAATATCTGTACTTAACCCCTTTTTAGCATAGTTTCTTGTCAGGGAGTTTATAGATGAGTGTAGAGCTTAAAATTCTCGTGTGAGCTGTGCTATGTTTTCACAGTTTTTACACTTTTTAGCATATAAATAGTTACATTCCTGACTGCGTCAGTTAGTGTTGTTATAATTTCTCAGAAACAGGGGTCCTCCTTGAAGCCATATCCTCTGCATGGGGACTGGCCCCATGACTAGCCAGGGATGTGGCTTGCAGCTCAGGCTGCAGGAGTACCCCATCTCTTGTGCAAGGTAATTGGTCCAGTAGATTTCCAACATACCTCATGCTGACTAGATGAAGTGCATGGGTGGTGAAGTAAGGAGTTGAGTTTACATAGTTCCGAAGTCGTTTGTAGTCTCTCTCAAATTGCTAGCCTGGGGAACCGACCACTGAGAGATTTTGCTGGTATTCGCCTTTTCTTCTTTTTTAAATTTTGGGTGAATGTTTGAAAATCATGAATCAGCCACCGTTATTAATTGAAGAGCTAGGAATACCTCGTTAATGTATTTTTAAAACTGGTGTTGGACCCTCTGTGTATTTCAGGTTAATACTTTTAAGCAGTTTTCAGCACGTTTATCTCACTTTATTCTCGTTCTCCTCGGACCTTCGTAGCCATATCACTTGTATAAAATAGGCTGAGATATAGTGACTGTAAGCTGTGATCTCAGTATACAAAGGTAAGCTCTTTTATTTTCTGATTAAAGAGAAAAATAATCAATTAACACAACATGCATATATGACAATCATATATGATGTATTTGATCTCTTAGGTCATATGTCATCACATTACCTTTAAAAATTGTATGGTCTAAATGTAAAATAGTTATTTTTCAACATTTGTTTTAATACCCTTGTAACTGCTTTTTATTCAAGACAGACATTTCACTTACACTAAGTGTGTGTGTGTGTGTAAAAACTTAGGATATAACATGTATGTAAATCACACACACATACCTGTTTAAGAATTCAGTGATAGGAACAGTTCATCTAAGAAGATTTTAATGACAGGGCACTCTTTTGGCCAAAGCAGTGGAATTTCCTGAGCAGCAAGGTTGGTACCGGTGCTGGTGGGATCCGTGTGTGTAAGCTGTTACACAAGCTGAGGATCAAAGTGCCAATTTCTCAAGGGGAGAAACTTCTCCGAGAAATGAAAGTCTCTGATCTGTGTTGTATGCCCTAATACAACAACAGCAAGAAGCCATAAAAAAAAAAAAAAGCAATAGAAAATGAAAAAAAAAACCAAAACAAAACCAAAATATGATGGTAACTATGGAAAAGTGTATAATTGACTGAGCTAAGTTAATTATTTGCAGAACCAACTTCAGCAAGACTCGGGGTGGTGAATATCGAGTCTGCGGAGACCGAATAGACTTAAAGCAATCCATCTGTCTTTTCCAGGTTAGGTAGCTAGATTATTTATTTCCCATCTTATTCAACCATCATGGAGTTCATGTAAAGATGTGAGGGTTAGGCAGATATTTTAATAAAGATTTGCTTCATTTAGGTGTGTCCCATAAATGCATTTAATTGTGTTAGATGTTCTGTGCTAAGGCTGTATTTGATATATGTAGATTAAAATGAATTTCATGTTTCATATTTGTTTCTAAGTAGCAGTTTCTTTTGATTACTCACTTTAAAGTTGCTGGAACAACTCTTGTTTTTTCCACGCAGAATCTGTATGTACATTTAATGTGGCTTTGGCATCTATAAAAGGTTGTACGAGGTATAGCTGACTAGTACTGAGTGCGATCCAGTCATGCTGAAGCAGCCCATTGCCTATTAGGTGCCAGGTCCTCTTCTGGGTACAAGTGAACAGAGGCTGTGACCAGTGGAAGCATTTTAATTCTGACAGTCTCCTTGTTGTTGGAATTGGGCCTATTACAAATATCTTACTTTGGGAACCAGATACTTTGTTAACTGTGGCAAAAAAGAGTATTAGCCCAGTCATTAGTTTAATTGTAAACAATTTAATAATGTAGGCCCTCTGACATCACCAAAATAGGTGTCACTTGGAAATTCACTCGTTTAAAATATTTCCCTGGCAGTTTTGAGAGCCTGAAACCTACTCTGGTTTATGTTCATGGACCTCGGTCCAATATGTGAATGTAATGAAATGAATAACAAATACTCCAGTCCTTTCCAGGTAGTTTTTATAGTAGAGCAAAGGACAAAGTGGTTAATTTAAACACTGAGCACATTTTTTTTAATGACAAATGAGAAAGTTTCACCCTTATAATCAATCATTCACCATAATTTCCCTGTTTCCTAGATTTCATTAATAACTGGAGGAAAATCTTCAGTAGTGAATTAGGGGAAAGAACTAAGGAGATCCCCCCTGCCTTCCCCGCCCCCACCCCAGGAATTAGATTTCAAGCAATCCAGAGCCCTATACACCAGGGTCATTAAGAGCAGTTAAAGCTGAAAACAACCTGCTCTGTGAATGGTCTTCCCCTAATTCCCATTCATCTTACGCCAGTGCCTACTGAGAGAAGGTGTGGCTATCTCTGAATCTCTGAATGAGAAAGGTTGTGTGTATTCAAACTCATACTCTGTACAGTCTGACGCCATGCTGTCCAGTGAACACAGATTCCTCAGTGTTATTAGGAGTCCTGGAAAGGAGACGGGTGGTAAATAGATAACAACAGCAGAGCCAAGAGACTACTGCTGAGGTGGGTTTCAGTATTGATGTGTTTCTCTGTAGCCCTTATTTACAGAGCACAGAGCTAGTACTTACATAAGAATGAGTCCCTTCCTTCCTTAATAGCCTCTTCCCGAAAGACTGTTTTAAGTCAATAATTCCAGTTGAGTTGGTTGTAAGAATAGATATCCTTTCCCACATTATCATTTTAGGTAGGAACTAACAGATTCCATTGATGCTTTGAAGCAGCAATCTTCGGAGGTTTTTAAAAATAGTACCATAATGCAAATTAGGTTATGTAAGCTTTACAGCACAGCTAGAAATAGAGACTAGAAACCATGTGGGAATCTGGGCCAAAGAATTTCTCTCCTTCCAGCACATTCCCATGGGGCTCAGGAATTAGATGAGTTAATACACATAATATGTTTTGAACAGTACCTGGTGCATAGTACGTACTCAGTAATAATGTTGAGTGTTGTTACCATGGTTGGCCGAGGTGAGGATGAATGTGAGGGGGGCGAGGCTGTGCCAATAGGTGTTGGAGAGGCAGGTGCATGGCCTGCTCAGGGTGGAGCTGTGTCGGTTCATTGGTGCTGATAGGCTTCACTGCCAGGCTTTGGGAGAGGACTCCTGGTATCTAGGGCTTAGACAAGAAACGCACCCCAAGGACCTGGTGCGAGCTAGTGTGGTGGCGTTGCTGTGGATCCAAGCTTCAGGAAATTGCTCATGCATCTGTTACAGTAGTTAAATTACCAGCCAATCTGCTGCCAAGGGTTTGTAAATACTTGTTTTTTTGTTTTTTTGTGTTTTTTTTGCATTGGGGGGGTGGTATTTAAGGGTGCTTAGAACTTCATAAGGGCTGATCTTAGAATATCTACCTGCTGAGTCCAAGTGTCCAACCAGTGCATTAATACTTTTTTAAAAAGGTGTTTGGTTATAGCTGCCTCCAGAATGTAACCTTCAGGGCTTACCCGTGTTTAGTAGGTGGAAAGCAAGTTCCTTTACAGCACAGAAAGGAAAGGAGGAAACTGGTGTGCTTAAAAGGCTGTCGACTAGGATGCTTCTCTGAAAAGCACTCCTATAGCTTGTCTCTTCTAGTTTGCTTTGATACTTCTGGGGGAAAAATCTGCACTCCTCACCATATGAGGCCTCCCTTCTGCCTATTAGTCTTAGAGAAAACGTATCTGCCCATCTATTCATCTTTCTTTTTGTCTATCCATTTACTTCTCCGTCTATCTGGACACAGTTGGGAAGTTTCTTTTCGATAAGAGGAAAATGGGTACATGATGAAATTGGTGCTTTTGGATTAAACAGAGGGTGCATGTCTTACCTTCCATTCCTTTGTGTGTCTACAAAGATTCCAGGGGCCTCTGCAGAAAGGTAGTCAGATGCATCCTTGGCTGTTGGTAAGAGGTGAGCTAAGTGGGAAACATAGACTGGAGCCCTCAGATGCTCCAAGTTTATAAAAACTGTGTATAGACAAGGACTGTTACCTTTAAGGAGGCAAATAAGATTTACCTTGTAGTCAAGAGGTTTTTCTTAAATCTAAGAAATACTTGCTTAGCTAATGTCTTGGCAAAAGGTAGTGCATTCCCCCCAGGGAGGCTGTTTGGTGGAGTCTTTGCCTTGGTCAGCCAGCATTGAGGGAGGACTTCTTTTTTTGCCTTGACTCATCAGTCGTTAACATTCTAATTAATTACTCCTTCTGAGGAGGGTCTTGGTCTCTCTTGGCAGAACTTTGCCATTTCTGCAAATGAACTGTGCCATCCTGCTGGTGGGCAGGGTGAAGATAGCCACTATTTGCCCAGGCAGTTTCACACTGGACTAAAGGTCTCTGCATTCAGGTGTCGGCTAAATGCCCCAAGTAATGAGGTGAACAGTAGCCCTCAGTTTAGGTCATTTGGGGCAGCAGTAGATTGAAGAAGTAGGAAGGGAAGGGGAAGGAGAGATGCCACCATTTGTATCTTGTGCACCGGGCATTTGGACATTCTTCTGAATTCTCCAACTACCTTCTTGGAAGTAGTAGTATCCCTAGTTTACAAAAGAAACTGATGCTCCAAGTTAAGTGCTAGAACCATTCATGGAACCTAGCTCTGTTCTAAAGCTTTTTCTGTTCCATCTGCTGTGGATTACAAGGCTGGGGTTGACAGGATGGGCTCTCGTGGAAGCTAGGCCTTCTGACTTGAGGTGCCTCCAGATCAGATAAACTGGCCTAAAATAGGGCTCTTTTCATTTAAATTGGTTGTGAAGAACGATCTCACATGCTGGAAGGACAGACTGAACGGCTGCATTGCATCTGTATCAACAGAGGAAGCATTTTTATCTCAAGCTTGTTTTTCTCTGAATTTCAGTGAAATCTGAGGTATGTGTTTTCACTTAGCTTATATTTTCTGAGTGCATGTTCTCTGCCTGGCCTGAGATAGGTCATGAGGATGTCTTCAACAATTGAAGCCAGACTCTGAAGGCAGGCTGGTGAGGCTTTGGCTCATCGGGTACAAGGAAGAGGAACACAGAGGGGCAGCAGCCCAGGTCTGGGCTATAAGTGCAAGGGGGTGTCCCTGGACAAGTACTCAGCAGATATGGGTGGTGGCAGACTGCAGAGGTCAGTGGTCATTGCCAGGAGTTTTCCTTGGAGTAGGCCTCAGGGCAGACTGCCAGCCTGGAGTTTGCTGTCTTTCCTCTAAGTTGGACCCGTGTATGGTAAGCCCTGCTTGGATGGCTTTGGGGTCTCTAAATTGCTGCCTGTGAACCACCCTGCTGAACGTGCCGGATTCTTCTGCTGCTGTAAACCACTTTACCACCTCCTTGGCTAATGAATGACAGCTGGGTCTCTGCTTAGGCATGGGTGGGTGCAGGGATGGCTGCGGGATCCTTTTCAGGGAAAGGTATTCCTCATCCACCCCAAGTCATCATCTTTCTTGGCACTTGGCAATGTTTCTGTGCACCCTGCTGTAATCCTGGAGGGGAACAGGAAAAAGGAACCTTTGAAACCCAGGTTGTCGTGTTCTAGATCATGACTGTGTCAGGGAGAATGAGCGCCTGGCATTCGTAGAACACAGTCCTCTCTGAAGCCCTTTCCCACTTGTCATCTCATGGCTTGCTGCACTGGTAGCCCTTGGAGAAGCACGGTGCATAGATTGTCGTTCCCACCCTGCAGACAGGGAGAGCGGAGCCCAGAGAGCTCTCCAAACCACCCTGCTCGTCTGTGGGAAAACATTGTGGCTCCTAACTAGTTTTTAACCACCAGAAGAAATAACATTTCTTAGACTGTTCTTAGAGTTAACAGCAGCCCTTTCCGAGGAATTAGTTTTGAATTTCACCACAACTGGAATTAGAAATTTTCTCCTTTTACAGATGAGGAAACAGATGCTTAGATAAGGTGATCTGCCCCAAATTACAGTGCGGTGAGTGGCGGCGCTCACCCAGTCTGAGGCTGTGCTCTGAGCAGGTGGTTTGCGTCGCTAGTGCAGACCAACGTCTGTTCCGTCTCCCAAGCCCACTTGGCAGCAGTGGCTTCTCTGTGATGTGTTCTGCTCACCTTTCCTCTAGGCTTCTGGGCTCTCCCCTGTGCGCCTTGAAACCAAGCAGAGACCAACCCATGTCTCCCTGATCCTTCCTCAGCCCCCTAAAATCCAGCCTTCCTGGCTCATTATGTGTCTGGTTCCTTTGTCAGTGTGCTACTGGACAAGGTGGCCAAATGGTCAGCTCTGGGCCCAGCAGCCTGAGTTGTTTTTTTTTTTTCTTTTTTTTTTTGCCAGCTACACAGTTGGGGTCAGTTTCTACAGATCATCATTTCATGCTGTAACTGAACCCTATAATAAAGTGCAAATTCATTAATTGCCACTTGGAGAGCTCCTCAGGGCTGGGAAGGCGGACAGTGGATGTACTGTTGGAAGTATGTTATGTTCAGCCTCATCTACATTTTGGTTTTTGGCCACATCCTCCGTTCCTGGCTCGGCCTTCAAACATGTACTCTAACCCATGGGATCATGGTCACAGTAACACATTTTCCAGAGCAATCTGGTGTTGGGATCCCCTTGGATTCTTCTGTCATGGGACTTCTCGGAAGTCTCAGCTTTCTAAAATCCCTCGTTCCTGCAGAGGCTATGTTAAAGGAATATGGTAGGCATCATCTGGGAGGTAAAAGACCTATGGAAATTGGCACCTGGGGAACTCAGGAAAGCTGAAAGCACCTTGAAATGAGATGGAAGGACCAGGTTAAGGCTGGTGAAGAGGAGACTGGAGAGAACGTGGGCACTCCCGCCAGGTATTTTTTAAGGGATTATGTTTATTTATTGTATGTGGTTCCAAAGGGTAAAAGACAATGATGGGAAGCCAGTGGGGCAATTTGAGCTAAAATACACCTCCCGCGATGACAGACGCGGCCTTGAGAGAGCAGCTGAGGTGCGACATGAGCTCCCTGTAATCGGCACGTTCCAGCAAGAAGCCGGTCGTGTGGATGGCAAAGAGGAAATTCTGTGGAATGTCAGTTTGGACGAACTCTGATGTGATTGGTGATGCTGCCAAGACCGTGTCTCCCTTCTTGGGCACGTAGATTTATTGAGAGAAAACATTCACTGTCACCTACTGCTTCTTACCAGGCTTTGTGTTGGGGCAGAAGGAGCAGTTGGAGAAAATGTCAGAATTTGCAGCTTAGACAACTGAGTAGAAGGTGAAATCATTGACCCAGATGGAGAGTACAGGGAGGGGAAGAAAGAGGCTCAGGGGATTTGAACAGAATGAGAATCATCCTCTTCTGTGCAGGCAGAAAGGCTTCAGCGGGTCTCCCCCCTCCCTGCTAGGGCCCCTCCTCGTCGGCTCTGGGCTGGGGGCTGGCAGACCCATTCCCAGGTCTCCTGCCAAGGGCAGCACAGGAGCCAGGCCTCAGGAGAGAAGTGCTGACTGAGTAATTTACCAAGACCTATAGGCTTCCCACTGAGACAGACGGGATCCCCAGGAGGGGAGTCAGAGGCGGGCCTGGCACGCACAGAGAGAGTGTGCCCACTTGGAGAGCGTGAAGGGCCTTGCCGTCGGACCTGAGATGGTTAAGAGTGAAGTGGCAGGTGGGACACACAGTTTGCAGTCACTTCTTGAATGGCCCTGGGTGGTGTGTCCTTCAGTGATGACCATCCTCCACGATGGTAAGTTCCAGAGGGTCGATTGGGACAGTTGGATAGCCAAGGACCAGAGTCAGGAGGGAGGACTGATGAGCACGAGGCTGTTGCCATCGGCCAGGTGAGGCATGAGGGAGGCTGACGGAGTGCAGCAGCAGAGGGCTGGAGAAGCAGGAATGACATCTCCTCACAGGCCAGGCTCCTCTGGCGGACTGGGTAGGGATGGGAAGATGATGGCCCCCAACCCTGGGCCAAGGAACAACAGCACCCATCCAGGGGAGGGGACCTGCTGGAGTACTTCTGGACCACTGCTCAGTGGGCAATAGAGAGAACAATGGTGTCTCTGACCAGGACGGGGGAAGGCAGGGGAGTGGAGGAAGATACTGACGGGGTACAGAGGAGGTCGAATAGAGCAAGGGCCATCTCCACTGGGCTAGGAAATGGGGCTTTGGTGGGCCACACTCCATCATGCTGGAGCGCTCCGGCTTCTCCACTGGTGGTGGGTGGGGAGGGGCTTGTGATCTATCAGCATCTTCACCCTTTCCGAGTTTCTGCTGGGCTGGGCTTTCCAGCCAGGAGTCACAGGTACCGGGTGGTCGTTCATACTGAGGCCTTTTGCTTGGCAAAAAGTAAATCCGGTTTTGTTCATTTTTAACCTAAGCAAGGGCTGGAGGTTGTTGGATTCAGCGTCTGTGGAGCAGTCTGTAGCCCATGGGAAGGTGTGGATGTTCTTTCCCAAGTTCTTGAAGGATGGAAAGGACCATGAACTTGTGACCAGAGGATTGGTTTTTGGTGTCAGTTTTCTGTCTGTCCCAGTGCTGCCACTTTTGCTTCGAAATGGACAGGGAGAGCTGAAGGCCAGTGTGAGTTTCTGCACCTGTTTCCTACAGCTCTGCTGGGGACTGCAGCTCAGGTGGCAGCTCTGGACATGGATCCAGTCAGCCTTTGGGTGGCCAGAGCTCCAGGGCCAGGTGTCTCTTAGCTGCAAGCAGCCTTCACTGTTAATCAGCAGGCTACACAAATCTCACGTCTAAAGAGGTGAAATGTGAAAATATATGGGAAGCACCGCCTTAGACCTGTGTCCACAAATCTTTTCTGTAAAGGGCCAGATAGTGAGCATTTCAGGCTTTATGGACCATGTGGTCTCTGCCACAGCTGCTCAGCCCTGCCACTGTAGCACAAAAGCAGTCAGAGACACTACGTAAATAGATAGCATGGCTGTGTTCTGATAAAGCTTCATTTACAAATACACAGGGCCGTAGTTTGCCAACCCCCCTGCAAAGTAGGGAGTATTTTGCCAAAGTTGGCTGTATTTCGCCAACCCCTTAGACTATAGAGATGACTTACCCTTTGGCTTAATCTTGACTGGAAACTTCCTTCCCATCTGCTGCCTGGACCCATCCACCTCCCCACAAGGGCTTCCTGAGCATCTCCTCTGTGTGAGCACTGGCTCAATGCACAGGACGGTGTAATTCCTGCCCATATGGAACTTAGGTTTTGAGTAACATCGTACAGAACAGGGCTCAGAGAAGCCCAGGGTGGTAGGGTCTCAAAGAGAAGGGCTGAGGGGGAATCAGGAAAGCTCTGAAGGCAGGCAGCTCTGGAGTTGGGCTTAGATGAGGAGGAGGCTGCAGTTCTCCAGGAAGGGAAACAGGACCAGATGACGGATGAGATTGTGTTGAACAATGAGGACTTCTGCATAGTCACACAGGCTCATGGGGTCCGCTCATAAAGGACCAGGAGGGCCAGGCTCAGGAGCGTGGACTGGATTCTCTGGGCAGTAGGGAGCCATTGGACAGTTGTGCTCAGGAGGGTAATGTGATCACAAATGCTTATTAGAAATGTCACTGGCTATGGAGGACCATGTCTGTGGTTCTAAGTTATACCTTTCAGTTTAGTCTGGACTTTTTGGTCAAGGTACTTTTGGTGTTAGAGTGGGGAAGAGAGGCCCAGAGAGTTGGACAGATGTTCTGACCACTGGCTTGTAGTCAGTGAGCGCCCCACCTTTATTTTGACATGACAGAGCTTGACAGAATCTTCCTTCTTCAGCCTTTTTCTTTTCCTGCTATCCTAAAGATCATGTATAAGGGCAGGATAAATGAAACATTCTGTCTCCAATCTAAGGTCGGCTTGGGGCCTCAGAATATGAAGGTGAAGAGGCGGGGACGGGCTGCCCCTTGCTTCAGAATCAAGCCACATGGCGGCAGTGCTCTGTGGAGCAGATTGCTTCCTTTGTACATGCCCTGGGCCTGTGGCCAGCAGGCCTCAGAGAAGAAGAGATGCTGACCTCTCGTCTCCAGAGGCTGCCAGCTACTAAGGGAGGTTGAACCGACTACCCTTGGGGGTGGACTGCTCTGGGCCGGGCCTGATGCCAGGCGTAGGGGACTGAGGTGAATCAGACATGGTGTTCGCATTGAGGAATGCCCAGTGTAGTTGGGGTGAGGAACAAACCCACGGGTGTTTGTGGCGCTTTCTGCTGAGCATGGTCTTTCCTCTCAGAGGGGTTTCTAGGCATGTTGAAGGGAGCTCCCATTCAGCACATCGGAGAGGTGCCAGGGACGTGAGCTGCTGCCAGCTTGATATGAACAGAAGCTGGGAGTAGCTACTGTTGCTGCGCATAGACAGGAGCACAGTGTCCGCTGTGAAGGGGCGGGTAAGGCTGGAGAAGGATGGCCTAATACAAGCACCTCCACAGATGCTGATTCAATGAAGCTCCATCAGCCCTGTGGGGGAGGTGAGGATCACATGCAGCTCGGAGAAGGCAAGGCACTTGCCCCCCTGCCTGAGCTGGGAGGTGGTGGCCAGCTCCACACAGCGCTGTCCCATGATGCTGGCGAGGCGGGACCAGCCATGGGCTGGCAGCACTGCACCGTGACCCCCTTCCACAGGGCCCAGCCTTGTTTCTGGCCCTCCAGGACTGAGTCAGGAGGTGAAGCCTGTGGTGCTGTCCCAGCGCAGTCGGGCCAGGCGTGGGGAAAGGCAGGAGGGAGATGTGCTGTGCTCTGAGCAGCCTGGCAGGCCCTGGAGAGGCAGGAAGCCACTGTATACTTCAGGAACTGGGTGCTGCTTACTCTCAGTGAAGTTGTGTTTTGCTCATCTCTGAGAATCAGGTGCGGGTTACAGAAGAAAGAGTTGTCCCTGGGTGGCTGCTGTCTTTAGACTTGTCGGGCTCCCTCTGGTACAGAAGTGCCTCTAGGATTTTGCTGCCTGGTCTCCTCTCTTATGGACATGGAGTGGCTCTCAAGTTCTTATGGTAGGTGTGGAACTTCTCAGCTCTAAGGAGGAGCACTTGCTGCATTTTCTAGAGAAGTTTCTGGGTTCATGGAAGGGAAACTGACAAACTGGAGCCTGGCACAGATGGACATTGGGTAAAGAGAATGCAGCCCGTCCCTGGCTGCAGTGCCAGGCGTGGCCTTTCACGTGGCAGCAAGTCACTTGCTGTGTCTCCAGCTTCATAGGAAGGCTCTTGTCTGTCAGGCAGTGGAGTTACAGACAAGAGCCTTGCTCAGGCCAGCCCTGCCCCTGCCTCTGCCTGCAGGCACAGGCGCTTTGCCATCTGCCCTGTTTTCCTGCCTAGAGAAACATGATGGTCAGAACATTTCTTGACTCTAACCAAAATATTTCTGCTGCTTTTGCAAGTCAGATTCTTTTCATTGTTCACGGAAATGGATCAAGAACAGGAGTTTTAGTGAGAGAGGTGGTGAGAAGTTCTTTCTCCACCTGTAATTTGCAAATTGTGTTTTAGGTTTCCAGCCTCTTTCCTCTGTTCTGGGTATCTTGTGCTCTCCACCCTTGAGGGATTTTGGTGTGGTGGGTCAGTGTAAGACACTCGATCCAGACACACACATTTCCAAGGCACTTTCATGTCACTTACCAAGCCTCCTTGTGTGCAGGTATCAATTCACTGGCTCCCTTAGGCTGCAGTCCTGACCCCCAAGGTAGTGATGGCAGCCGGTGCATGAGGTATGATTTGGAAGTAACCAGGCAAGCCCTGGTTGCAAAAAATACCTCTTCTGTCCCAACAGTAGGCCAGAGGTGCTGCCATTAGACGCATCCCTCTACCTACCCCCGATCACTTTTCATGCTCAGGCCAGCCTTGCACAATCAGGTTCCGTTCACTCTCTACCCCCATTTCTTAGATGGGGTACTGAGCACTGCTTTTCCTTTAGCTCACTTAATATGGCAGCTTCTCAGGGGTGGAACCTACCATGGCTGTGGGAGATGCTTCGCTACTACTTACTACCTTTCCTAGGGAGGGCAGCTCATTTTTTAGAAATGCTGCTGGGGAGCCAAATTGTAGGCATCCAACCAGAGGGCCTCGCTCTCTTTGTCTCCCAGGAATCAAGGGTAGCTCTGGCTCTCTGAGGAGCTGTCTCCAGCCTCCAGGTGGACGTCCTTTCCAGCATACCAGGGCTTATGGAGGCAAAATGAAAGCTGGTCCACGTGGGAACCCCCTGCTGTTGTCCTTTCCTTGGGCAGACATCATACACTTTTTAGCCCCTAGCAGTGTTCATCCTGTTTTCCCCAAAGCATCCTTGGACTCAGGCCTTTCACCCTGGACCCATCTGTCTGGCCTGTTGTGCTGAACCTTTGGTCTAAGTGGTTGGTTGGTCCAGCTACTTCTTCAAAAGGACGTTTCCTAAGGTAATCATCAGTTAGGGCAATTGTACTTCCAGGAACAGTGAGGCTGATGGGCCTGTTCCCAAGGGTGCTTTGGCAGGGGGTGCCAGGGAAGGGGCTGGCCTAGGGCCGGGTTCATCATACCATTAGCCCTGCAGCGCCATGCCTTTGTGTCCTGGTTTCCCCGCCGTGTAGTGGTCCTGCAGGAGTGGAGCCTGTAGGACTTGCTTCTCACCCACTCCAAGCAGAACTGTCAGCGAAGGAGGTGGGAGGTGCAGCCAGTCTAGACCTGAAGCTCTCACACTAAGGAGTAAGGTAGGCCTGCTCAGCCATAGTCCTTCATCAGCCCCAAGGGTGGGGGAGGCGGGAGGAGGCTGAGCGTAGTCGTGGATAGAAACCTTTCCCTACTGCACGGTCACACACTTGGCATTGGACTCCTGGCTGTAGCTCACTTGGGTCTACTGAAGACCAAGTTAGTTTTTAGAAATCTATTTAAAGTTATCTATCATGTATCTATTTACTGTGTTTTTCTGAATACGCAAGTGTAAATAGTATAATTTGCAGTGCAAAGTCCTTGGCAATAAGTTTGTGTATTATGTTTAAAAACACTGGAAACCACGACCACCATGGACTGCCCTTCCCCTCTGAGGCAATTATTACATGTAGGACTCTGAACTTTAAACCTTCAGCGTGACTGAAGCAGCAGCCTGCACATGTGGACGGTCATCAGTGCCTCGCCCAGAGATGCCTGGCCTTCATCCAAAGGGACCCTGCTGCCACAAGTCCTCCAGGCAGCACCCACACTGTGGCTCCTTCGCGCTGAGTATGTTGGACTCTGCCATAGACTGACCCTCTTGTCTGGCTGCTGCAGTTTGTCTGTAATGCCCTGACATGTTGCATTTTCCCCATTTGGATAAATAAAAACAAATGCTTCTGTCACACACAGTAATGGACTGTTCTGTGTAGGACCCACTCTGGTAAAATGAAGGATACAGCTTTGGTGAAAGGTTCAAGTGCAGGCTCCCTTTTCCTGGCCCTTAAGGCTCTAGTTCAGTACATGTTACAGGTTCTTCCATTCATGCAAAGGGATGGAGGGGCCGAGGACGTTTGAAGGGGGTGGGTGGCTCCTGATAATGGACAGTGATTTGGGTGGGGCCAGGGCCTAATGTGTGATCCTATTAATGATCCTTAAAACCCTGCCTGTCTGTGGTGTGAAGTTTCCTCAACATGAACCTGGCAGCCTGGCACAGTGAGTGGTAAGTGATGTCATGTTGAGTGCTGACCTCTTAAATCGTCACGCCTGTTCCCGGGGTCAGTAATACCCAGACAGACAATACAGATTGGGAACCGAGGCTCAGGGTTAAAGGACCCTGCCCAATGGTGTCGAGCTTCTAGAGGGCGGCAGCAATTGGAACCCAAAGCTGAGGTTCTTCCTCCTGCTGCCTGGTCCCCTGCAGGGCTTCTGCAGTTGAGCTGCCCTAGTAACTGAGAGCTCAAGACCACAATGTAGTCCCAGCCCACTTGGAGGGACGAGGACGAAGAAGATCCGGCAGCCCAGGGAAGTGGCCTGGTGGGGAATCGGGCCAGGGGCTGCTGCTGCTGCCTCCAGGTAAGTGGAGAGTTGTGTGGGCAATGGCGCTGCCTGTTTTTGCCTCACTTTGTAACTCAGGGCCCCGCCTTCTCCCTATACATCATCAGGCTGGATCTACAACGAAGCAAGAATTGACTGAAAGAAGAGCCGGCCGCGCCAGCCCTCTGCTATTATCCTCCTCATTCTCAGGTTTGCCTTTCTGAGATTGAGGGACAGCCAGGCTTTCTTGTTCACAGTTGCCACAGGGCTCAGCAGCACAGGAGACAGGTTGTTGAGGTGGATCTGGCAGAGAGGAAGGGATGGAGCATTGTCTGTCTTGCTCTTGGGCCCTGAAAGAGGTGAAGGTGATGGCGTGTGGTAGGAAAGACTCAACTTCCCGATGGTGTGGTCACAGGCAGACCTTTCACCTTCACTTTCAAATTTGGGAATAACATCACTGAACTCAGGGGTGTTCTGACGACTGGAGGGAGAAGAATACGGGAAAAGAGCCAGGGGCGTCACAGGAGAGCCCAGCAGCCCTGATGAGCCAGGTACTGGACCCACTGCACAGATTAGAACTTGAGAAGGTTAAGTGAAATGTGCATTCAAGGGTATGGCCTGGCCTTGAACCCTTTTGAGTTTCTGTGTGTGTGGCTTGCAGCATAGTACTGACAGTTTATACCTACCTGCAGCCCACAGGGTCATCTTTAAGCAGCCACCCTGTGATTACTGACAGAAGTACGAGTCAGCATCCCAGCCGTCTCTCTGAGCCCATCTCTCTTCACCTATCAAATGGGGAGGGCGGAGAACTCAGCACTCATGTCTGTTGTTGTGGGAGTGCGTCAGTGCCCATTCTGGGCGGCTCCAGTCCTCATGTCTGCCTGCTCCAGCTCTCCTGTTCTTTCATCACCCCCCAAATGAATCTTAGAAGAGGATTAAAATCCCAATGTCAGAATCAGGCACATCTCTAAGCAGTGAAGAGAGTCCCCAAGGCCCAAGGGGCCCATGCCCCTGCTGCGCCCCCTCCACACAGGCTCTGCTTGTCACAACTGTTGGGGCAGCTCAGACATGGGAGCTGCGTTCTGGGCTTATTCCGGTAGCCCGTGGCTTTTTTCGTCACCCTTTCACTACTCAACCCCTGCCCCTGGGACTTGGAATTCAGAAGAGGTGCAGACACTTTGGGGCTGATAGCTCTTGGCATTCGGTCTGAGCCACTGCCTCCCCACTGAGAATTATCAAGGCCCTGGAAATCAGCTTGGTTTGCAGCAGGGCCTGCCAAAGAAGGTCCACTCAGCCTGCGGTGCATGCTTGCTGACCTCGTGAGCAGGAGATAACAGGTGCCCAAGGTTGGAACCACAGTCTGAGTGGCCCAGCACAACTGCACTTCCTGCCACAGTCCCCTCTGACCATTGGCCTTGCTTGCCCACTTCCCTCATAGCCAGGTTTCTTAAAATCTATACTTGCTTGTCTCTGCCTCCTGCCCTCCCACCTCAACTGTAGTGGCCACTGCCCTAACAACTTCCAGCTCCCAAATCCAATGAAGCTTTTCCAGTCCTGCCCTCATCCCCACCCCAAAGTACTCTTGCTCTTCTCTGGCCGTCCGTGCTCCATTCTCCATGTCTTCCCTCCTGCTCCTTGGATGGCAGCTCCTAGCCCTTGCTTAAGCTGTACGTTACCTAGGCAGTGTCTCCAGGCTCCTAGCTTCGGCTTGCTCAAGCAACGGTTCTCAATCATTTGGCCCCCTCAGGGAATATTCGGCAATACCTGAAGACATTTTTGGTTGTGCCAGTTGGAGTGGGGTATATGCACTAGCATCCAGTGGACAGAGGCCAGGGATGCTGCTGGGATTACACAGGACAGACCCCCTACAGCACAGAAGTATCAATCAACCAAACCATCAACAATGAGTTCTAGAAACCCTGTGCTAGAGATGCCTACCCAACAACTGAGCAGCTGCAGATTGCCAGTATCTCCAACTTGCAAGTCCCAGACTATTTCAGATCTCTACACTGACAGCTAAATGTATCTTCCTGGTGTGTCGCCACTCTTACCAAATTTCACTGACTCCATTCCTTATTCTATCATGTATCACCTCTGCTCACACCCTTAATTTCTTCTCCCAATTTTCCTTCCTAAAGGATCAGCAGGGAACTGCTCAAAGTGCAAGTTAGCTTAACCCATTTATGCCTAGTGTTCCATTATTGGAACGCTAAGCTTGTGGGAGTTATTTATATCCTACTGCTCAAGGTCATCGCCAAGGTCTGATTTTTCACACAAAAAAATTTGTAACCTCTGGCATAAATGGGTTAAAACTCTCCAGTGACTCCTCATCAGCTCCAAACTCCCTGGCATGGCCGCAACCTAATTACCCAGTTTCATCTCTCAGTCATCACCCCACCTCAAGCAGACTTAACTACTACTGTTCTTCCCACCTAAATGCTGCTGTCCTCTTGCTGCTCCTCTACCTAGCTAGCAGGTCCCTTAGTTGTCAGTCACAACTGTCACTACCACTTTGTCCCTCCTGCATTTACACATACCTTCCCACAGAATCCCATACACCTGTACACGACTTACCACACAGTGTCACTATTATTATTCTCAATCTCAGCCTCAACATAACCTCCCCAAAAGCAGGACCCTCATCTGAGTTGTTTTAGGCCTGTGTGCCAAGACTGAATAGTATACGGACTCCTTTTCTTGGGCCAATACGCAGCTGCAGGGATGAGGATTTCTGCTGAGTCCCTACACTACTGAACATCGAAGCCATGTGACAGGAAAAGCATGGAGCAGCCTGATGCAGAATGTGGATCCCAGAAACATGTCCTCCAGCCTGCAGCTTGTGAGCATCAAAGGGACCTAGCTGTGCTCTGGAGCCATAGTCCTGGCTTCTGCAAGAGTACCTGCCAGGGGCTGAGTCCTAAGCTAGAAACTTTCCTAGTTTCCTTGCAGTGGAGAAAGACAGCACAGGGCCCACCTACTCTCATCTATATCTCTATCCCTATCTATCACCTATCCATCTTATCTATTATCTCATCTATCTAATCTCCTTCCTCCTTCCCTCTTCTCCCCTTCCCCCCCCCCCCCCCCCTTCCTTCCTCCCTCCCTTCCTTCCTTGCAGGCATGAAGCTATGGTCTGTTCAGCCTGCATCCATTTAAAGGCTAGGCATAGGTGGGGTCCTGGAGGGCAGGTCAAGCGGGGAGGGGGAACCATAAGATTAGGGAAGCATCGTTGTTCTTCTTCCTGCTATGGAGAAGGGGGTTGAGGTGGTAAAGAGGGGCAGCAGAAGGCCTGGGAGCCTCATCTGTATGGTGCAGGGATGTGGAGGACAAGCAGTGGGAAGAAAGAGGCTCTGAAGATAGAACTCCATGTCACTGCTTTCCCTAAAGCTTTTAGCAGACCACACCTGTCCCCCAGGTGCTCAGTCTGCCTTTCTACTCTTCAGCTATTTCCCCTGCACGTGCACATTCTGGCCCTGGAATTCCCTCTTCCATCTCTGCTTGGTGAGATGCTTTTGCCTTTGAAGGTCTAATTTGACCCTTACCTCCTGTAAGGCTTCCTTAAGCCTCAAAAACACCAAGTGTCCCTTATCCCTGCTACTGTAGCACATTATTTCTCAGAGGGGCAATGTTCATCATAAACACAGAGGCATCAGTCATCTTGCCCCATGTGGCCTGCCACACCCTACCACTCCATACATCTGAACAGGTGGGTGAGGGGCTGCCTCGCACTCACACATGCCTCTCTGACAGCACACACAGTGGTCTTCTCTGACTCTGCTTCTGTGTGCAGGGGATGGGGAGAAGAAGGGAACGGGGGGGAAGAAGGGGACGGGGGGGGGCAGAGGGAGAGAAGGGGACAGAGGAGAAAGGGGCCAAGGGGAGAAGGGGATGGAGGAGAAGGACGAAGAAGGGGACGGGGGGGGGAGAAGGGGATGGAGGGGGGAGAAGGGGACGGGGGGAGAAGGGGACGGGGGGGGAAGAAGGGGACGGGGGGGGAAGAAGGGGACGGAGGGGGGAGAAGGGGACGGAGGGGGGGAAAAGGGGACGGAGGGGGGAGAAGGGGACGGGGGAGAAGGGGAGGCGACAGGAGCACATGATGATCAAACTGGTTTTTACAAAGCAATGCTGTTTGTACCAAAATATTTAATGAATATGCTGTTAAAATAAAACCAACAAAAGAAACAGTAATACAATTTTACTGGTTTATATTTCAATTCATAAAGTTGACACACTGAAACTACCCTAGCACAATGTCCACACACCTAGCATTAGATAGGCTTACAGCTATTTTGGTAACTGAACAAGAAAGACACAGAAAGCAGCAAAGGGGATGGTTGGTGGGGAGGGGGTTGCCACTTGTTACCGCCTTTATTACAGATAACCTCAGCAAGCGTTAGTACAGCCAATAAGAAAAAGAGCTACAAAACAACCCGAGTGTCTTTATATACAAAACCAGTGCCTCTTGTAAGCAGCCACCTCAACACTGAACGCAGAGAAGAGGACAAAACCATCTGCGTGTCAGCCTGTCAGCATATCACTATATAAATTAGAAGTCAAAGTTTTTTTTTTTTTTTTAAAGGTGCTAAAATCTCCATTCCATAGCTTTGAAGTGAGAACTTGCAGCCCATCTGAACAGTGAGGTTTGCACCCAGGCATACTCTGAGGAGGGCCCAAAGGCCCAGCCCATCTGGGAGGGACAGGCCCGCAGAATGGAGACCTTGCAGCATGTGCACCCTGCGCAGACATTTACAGACACGCAGCTCAGTCTTTCTCGCTTGGACAACCTGTTGTGCAAAAACACTAGGAATCTTGAAGTAAGGGAGCTCTGTCCACAGCTCCCGCAATGGCAGGGAGGAGAGCAGAGCAGAGCCCAATGAACCTTGAGTGAAATTAAGTGCTCAAATAACCACATAATAAAATTGTGCAGATCGGCAGTCCTAGTCTGGAATTTAAACACTGTCAACTGGGCATGTTGGGAAAGATATTTATATATATACACACACATACACATACACACACACACACGACACGTTAAGCAAAATAAGATTTGTCCATGTTATAATCCAGTCTCACAGTCAAGTCACCCACCCCCGCCTTTTGAAGTCATTTGGCAGCTAATGCTAAAAAATAACAGGAACTATGAGAGTTGCATAGAATTGATCAGAAACATGAATAATGCCAAACCCAAAACCTGCATATGATACAGTTTAACAGAACCAGGTGCCTTCAGATGCAACTATGAAACCCTCCTATTTAAAACAAAGTGCTTCTCCATGTCTACCTGGGGGACCTTCTGCTGGCATTGAAGCAGAAAAGAATTATTTGAATCTCTGATCCCCTGCCCCACCCCCACTATATATATATATATATATAATATATATTTATAAAAAAAAAAAAAATTTAGGAAAAAAAAAAAAAAAAACAGACTGAAGGATCCCCTAACTCTGATCATGTAAACTCAGTCTTCAGGCTGGGTGAGGTGTTGACCTACATGGGGAAGAGGCCTGGAAGGTCACACTGAGGAGTGATTTCTAGAGTGTCCAGAGCATCGGCTGAGCTAGCAGGCCTGTTAGTATCAGTAGTCTTACCCCAGAGGTTGCCTGCTTCATGAGCTCTGGTCCAGTGACCTACCAACATGCGTCTATGGATCTGACTTAGGTACATTCTGGTCCTAGGACAAGTCACAGAATCACACATCTGGCCAAAGAAGGCAACAAAAGGTGTCATGTTTTCTGAAGGTGTCGGGAGGCGGCAGCTGCTCTCAGCAAGTCTCTTTCCCTTGAACCCCGGTTGCTGTCTTTATGGAGCTCAGTGTTCGGTTAAACCACGTCTTCTTGGCTGCCTGCACCTCGTTGAGGGCAAGCCCTAAATGGTGCTCCAAGTCCTGCAAGAGGAACAGTGCGCATGAGGATGCTGGGCTTGGTGTCAATGACACTGGCTCCCCAGAGGAGAGCCAAGACAAGAATGTACTCTGTTTACTCTGGAGAGGCCTTGGGAAATTCCCCGTCTCAAACTGGCTTGAAATGCCTCGGATGCCTAAAGATTTGGGAGTTTTTAGTTAGGATCTAATTTCTTGCCTGGTCTATTTATTAAAACAGTCTTCTACTTTCTATGTCTCCCTCTTCTGTCCACCGAATGCACACTAGGCAGACAGCTAATGCTCTACTTCTGATGACATAATTTCATTTCGGCAAAAATCTTTAAACCCCCTAGCATGGCGTTTGAAATGCTTCGCAATCTGGATCCACATACTCTCTTCCAGCCTTAGCGCCACCTCCGTCCCCTACTGCAAGGAAAGAACTCCTGAGGCTCCTTCCTGGGCAGCCACTCTCCTCCTTGTGCTGCTGAACATGCCACTCCCTCTGCCTGGAATTGCCACTGTTCTCCCTCTCCTGTAGCTACAATCCCTGTGCATTCTTTGATCACAGCACAGCTACTGCTGCTTTGGTGATGCCTTTCCTGATTATCCTGGGTAGTCACACTACCAGGTGTTAGCTTTGCAGTCCCAGACCTATAACAGGGCCTGCCAAAGAGCAGATGCCCAGTGAATGTGTGCAGTGAGGGAGCATCAGCCCTAAAGCTTTTATCCTGAACTTGTCCTGTCCAAAAACAGTGCTTAGGGTTTAGAGGTGCTGGTGGACCTACCAACGCATATAAAGATGACCAAAACAAGCCCTAACTTCTTTATCAGGAAAGGAGGCTCAGACAGGTAGCATATTCACAGTCACGAAGCTAATTAAGTGGTGGGAACTGGAACAATAAAAGCTTGCATTTATAAAGCCCCCAGCATTCTGCCAAACCATTTGTGCACACTATCTTACTTAGTCCTCAAACCAACCCATCAGATAGGTAGTCATCATTTCCATTTGTAGATAAGGAACCTGAGATGTAGGGAGGTTACTAACCCAAGGTCAAACAGTTCAGTGGTAGAGCTGTGTTTCTAAAGCACTGTCTTCTCATCCCATCAAAAGATTCCAAGCTCTGTGTATCATTCTCAATATGAAAAAGTGAAAATCCTCAAGACAGGGCAAATACTGATGAGACATTCACTGGCCAATAACAAGTCCTGTATTTCTTTTCATGACAACTGTGATCAAAGTTTAGAAGGTGGGGAAAAACCCAAACCATAAAGATAATTTCTGGGGTTTCTAGTCCACATCAGGAAACTCAGCCCGCAGGCACGTGTCTGAGCTTGGCTGTTACCTGTATCTTACACTCGGCCTCCACCAGCTGGAGTTTGGTCTGTGCCAGTTCTAGCTCCATCTCTCTCAGCTGGTTCTTGAGCGTCTCTTTCTCTTCATCCGTGTCCTCATCTAAAACCTCCTTGGTTGAGCTTATGCCTTTTACACGCCCTTCTTTGTTGAAAAATTCCCGGCACCGCTCACAGTCATCCACTTTTTGCTGAAATTGAATGTTAGATGTGAAGATGCAAAGAAGAGGAACTGGCCCTTTAGGATGGTGTGAGCATCCCCTTTGGGGGACACCAAGAGACGGCTTCTCTGTTGAGCACTACAGTTTCTGAAAACCTGTGCTCTTTGTAAACTAGCAGATAACCTACTGGAAAAGCCACTTGGTATTATATACCAAAAATAATAAAAATACCATTGTCTTAATTCAGTAATCTCACTTCTAGGAACCCAGGGTGAAAAATGAAGCTGTAACTAGATAAAAATTTATGTACAAAATTTTCACTGTAGAACTGGAGACAGGCAAAAAAGCAGCGGATAAACTATTCAAAACAATTAAATATTAAATATACTGTGCTATATTTATACAAGGAAGTACACCACCTCTAAAAGGTTTTTGAGGAACTTTTTATAACATTGTAAAATGGATGCATAGTGGTTGAAATAGAACACAAAAATGTACATAAACTATGATTACAAATAAAATGTATTCCACATTTCATCAAAATAAGATGCCATTAACTATAAGAAATGTCATTTTATGTTCCTCTAAGAAAACATTCTGCCAATTAAACCACAAAAAGCCAATTATAAAACATCCCACTTTCAAAGATGTTTAAATGTGAAAAAAAAATGCTTATCTTAGAATGAATGAAATTTTATATGTTAAACACAGAACAAAGATTGAAAGAATACACACCACAGTGTTAATAATGATGTTATATATGTGGAAAATGGATCATAAGGGCTTTTTTCCCTTATTTACTCTTCCAAATTTTCTGCAAAAATATTTAAGTTTTAGAATCAGAAAATAAGTTATATTTAAAAACCAGATCTGGATAGCCAGCCATGGTGGCTCACAGCTGTAATTCCAGCACTCTGGGAGGCCAAGGCGGGTGGATCACGAGGTCAGGAGTTCAAGACCAGCCTGGCCAAGATGGTGAAACCCTGTCTCTACTAAAAATACAAAAATTAGCTGGCGTGGTGGCACAAGCCTGTAATCCCAGCTAGCTGGGAGGCGAGGCAGGAGAACAGCTTGAACCCAGGAGGCGGAGGTTGCAGTGAGCCGAGATGGTGCCACTGCACTCTAGCCTAGGTGACAAGAGTAAGACTCCGTCTCAAAACAAACAAACAAAAAAACACACAAAAACAGATTTGGTTAAACATTAATTATGACAAAGGCCAGTGTCATCTTGCTCTAGGTATAATGTTGCTTTGCGCAAACATGACCATGAGCACAGAACCTACCCAAGTTCCTGTCCTCTGAGCTGTAAATATGTTAGTGAGGTACCTTTCAGTAAATTGCTTATCTTAGTAAAATCTGACAAGTACTGTAATATAGGTAGAACTTAAAGAAAGAAAGCACCACATTATAAAAGCTCCTAAGCTGCCAACAAAACATTAAACAATTAAAGTTCTAAACTGGGCACAATGGTGCCCACCTGGAGTCCAGCAGCTCAGGCTGAGGTAGGGATTTCACTTGAGCCCAGGATTTCAAGGCCAGCCTGGGCAACATAGTGAGACCCTGTCTCTAAAAATAAAAAAAATAAATAAACTAAGGTCCTCATTGTACTCGGATGTGCTACAGCAGAAGGCATGAACTCAGAACAACACTGGAGAGTGACAAGCCACAGCACATGGTTCTGACCTCTGCACTCCGACCACCTCAAGCAAGACCTGTCACTTGCATGACTCCCTCTCCTCAGCATCACACTGCTGACACCGACTGCCTTACAGACAACATTTGGAAATCGTGGGGCACTTGCATGTTGAGAGCTAAAGCTAGAGCTTGTTTAATTTCATCTGTACGCCCTTCCAGAGAAAAGAGGCATAATGTTAGTTGTTAACTATAGAGCCAGGACCTGTGACAGGTGCCTTATTGCTTAGATTCTCTCTCTTTTGAAATCAACTGCCTCCTCCCAAAACCTGTTTATACAGCCATAAAATGAAGTAGGTGGTATAAAATCTTTTAGGTAAAGAGAAGTCTTACCCGAATTTTCTCAATTTCCACCTTATTGGCTGTCTGCTGCTTCTCCAGTCTTTCACTCAACTGAGAACAAATCTAAAGAAACAAATATAAAACAATAATCTCTTGAGCAACTGTAATCATTTACATAAATTCTGTAGTGGAAGCTGGAATATGTAAATTGGAATTAACATAGTAGCAAATAGGCTGCTACCACTCAAGAGGGTATATGAAGTTGGTGGATAAGTAGGGGTTCTTCTAGCTATGCCGCCTCTGCATTCACTGGCCTAGGACTTGCAGAAACCAAGCAGCACCACACTCAATGGCCAATGGTTTCTGAACACCTGCCAGACTCATAAGCTAGCATGAGATCCTAGTGTAGGAGGGAAAATGACCATTTGTTATGTTCTTAAAACTCAACCAGTCAGGGAGAGAACCGGTTTAAAACTACACATAAACAAAAGTTCGTAATTCTGAATCTGAAATACACACCAAAACATACTGTGGTTTTAAGTACCTACTCTGTGCTGGGCACTGCCAGGCACTCTACAAACATGGTCTTTTTAAATCCTCGTAACAACCTTCCCAGGCGGGGATGATTTTCCTTCTTTTACAACTGAGAATAAGTGAAGCCACTTGTCAATGCAAGGGGCAGAGCCAGGATAGGAAACCAGAGTGCTTGCATTTGGGTTTGGGGGTGGGGGGTGGGTATACATTTTTTCCCGACTACAGGCTTCCAAATTACACAGCCCAGTCCCAGGGTACTGGAACTTACCTGCTTATAGTCACCAATGATAGAACTGTTTTTTTTAATCTCAGATTCTGCCTTGTCAAGTTCCCGACGGCACATTTCTTTTAACTGCACACATAAAAAGGCAAAAGTGACTATGTTAACATAAAAAAAAAAGGAAGTTCTGCCACCAATCGCTTAGTGCTAGGCTACCCAAAAAGTGCTGAACCAAACCCTGGAAGTCCTCTAATTCAGCTACTTTCTTCCTTCAATCTTGGCAGCACTAATCCCCTGTTCCTGATGCAGGAGAGGGAGAGAACAGTTAAAACTTCCAAAAACGTCAGACCCCATTTCAGATTGAGGCTTCTGCTGAAGGTCTTCCCTGCCAGTACAAGCCAACTTGTGGACCTTCACTGAGACGGCAGCACGAACCAGGCACAAACCAAAGAGCTCATAAGAGGACTGCGGGTTTTCAGCATCTCATGGTTTCTGTAGAAAGGGCTTTGCAGTCTCTCACCCCAGCCAGTCTTGCCTCCTGGAGGACCAGGTGCGACAGGGGAGGGGGTTGCTCCTGGGCGCACAGCACCCAGAGCTCTTCTCATGCCTGCAGCTCTGTGTCTCCAATGACTATGGAGCACTGGCTCAGAACAAGACTTCCCAAGCTTCCTCTACGAGGGAGACAGCAGAGGACAAGTAGGGAAAGAGCCAGGCATTATATGATGTGTGCTTTCCTTCTGCAGAAATTCTACCCCCTCTTCATTGTTACACTCAGATGCCGATACACAGAAATTCGCCTGCCCCAACAAAGGATGGGCCTCAACCCACTGTCTCCTCCTAGGCTTTAATTAGGAACCATTGGATTTTACATAGTAGGAAAAAAAAAAAAGGTCTTTGGAGAGAAACTGAAGCCAGATGTCTCCAGGTTTTCTAGTGCCAACAGGAAGCCACCAGCTGAACTCCCAATTCTCAAGCATTTGCGAGACAGGAATGTGGGAGAGTTCCCTTACCTGGGCAGACTCTTCTTCCAGCCGTCTTTTCTCTTCTTCTGCATCAATCAACTTCTGTTTGGTCATCAGCAGCTCCTTATTCAGAGCATCTGCCTTTTCCTCAGCCTGAAACATTTAAGATATGCTGTCACAAAACAAGAATTGGGAACTGCAAAGGGTTTACATTACTTAGCATAATCCCATCTTAAGATGATGGGGAAACTGATTCAGAGAGGGGAAATTATATCCCCAGGGTCACAATGAGAATACACTCATGCCTAAGTACCTGTCCCAGTCTCTTGCTCAGAGGTAGTACAGGGCAGTAGTTAGGAGCTTAGCCTCTGGCATCACAGCCTGGGCTCAATGCCCATTGTTCACTGACCATGTGCCACTTGGACAAGTCATTGAGAACCTCTCTAAGCTTCCAGCTCTTCATCTGAGGGATAAGGCATGAAAAGCATTCAGCACAGTGCCTGGAATACAGTAAATACCAATAAAAGGTAGCCGTCATTATTATTATTAATAAACTGGTTTTCTTCCTCCAAACTGTGTTTCCTCTGCTTCATCCAACCCGTCTGGCATTTTTCTTGTTATTACCTGATAAAGGAGGCAGTCCCTTTCCTGGCACTTTTTCTTATCTTTAATGGCCACTCTCCACCCGTCTTTTTCTAAAGCATGCAAAGGTCTAGTGGGTGTAACTGTGTGTCCTAGTGAAAATGATACACTTTTGCCTGACATACGAGTTCCTGGTGCTGGTCACTCCAAGGATGACTGACTATACCATATTAGAGAAGACTCAAGGACTAAATAGAGGGTCTCTGCTGGGCTCCTGATGTGGATAGGATTTCCCTGAAATTCTGACATCACCTAAAGTAGTGTAACTGGGCCACTGAGTTTTCCACTATACTCTACTTCCTTTCCTGTACTTCTTTGGAAGAAACAGGTTCCAGAGAGCTGGGTCCTTAAATGGGGATCTGGACCAGGCGTGGTGGCTCACGCCTGTAATCCCAGCACCTTGGGAGGCTGAGGTGGGCAGATCACAAGGTCAGGAATTTGAGAAAAGCCCAGCCAACATAGTGGAACCCTGTCTCTACTAAAAATATACAAAAAATTAGCTGGGCGTGGTACAGGCGCCTGTAATCCCAGCTACTCGGGAGGCTAGGGCAGGAAAATCGCTTGAACCCAGGAGGCAGAGGTTGCAGTGAGCTGAGATTGCGCCATTGCACTCCAGCCTGGGCAACAGTGCGAGACTCCATCTCAAAAGAAAGAGAGAAAAATAGGGGGGAACTGAGAATGGCATGATATGCAGATTCAAAAGGCCATTAATTACTGGTAAATTGCAAATGCATGCAATTAAATGTGGCCCTGCAGTTATGTCCTTCATGGGGAGTAGCTTATCATCTCCTTCTTTAGCTCAAACCCAAGAAGCAATCAAAAAAGGAAATGAAGAGACTCAAACAACAGGGAAAATAACTAGTAAGGAGAATGAAGTCCTGTTAAAGATTCTATTTTACTTTAACCAACAGAACAACCTATCCTCTCTCGCTTGGACTCGGTTAACATCTTTTGAGCATTACATTGAAGCATGTGCTACACACTTATGTTCTGTCCTTTTCTCATCATCACTACCTTGGTAGATGATGATTCATACTAAGACTGATTCTGAGGAGTATGGAGGAGCCTACTGATGAAATGGGTCTTCTAACACAACAATCTTCCCTGCCCACCCCAACTCCCCAGTTTATAAAGCAGTTAGGCGGGGAAGTGATTTCCCCAAGCTCTCACTAGCATGTGGCATAGCTGGAATCTGAAACCAAGTCTTCTGACATTGAGCCCAGCATTTGTGCCACCACTCCTAAAGCTGACTCTCAAGGTCATGCCAATGGGAAGGTGCACAGAGGATACTGGCCTGACCCAACCAGGGTCCTCTAACGGCACCATACCCACTGCACATTCTATTTACATCAGCATATGAGGAGAGGGCATCTGGTCACAATAAACATAAATCCAGACTTCTAGTCATGAAGGATTAACAGGGAGCAAATCTATCCTCCTACTATAAACAGAAAACTGGATAAAACATATGAAACAGCTATTTTCGGACACTGAGAACAATAAATGCAGAACTGAGGTTTCTGGAAGGAAGAAAACAAACAAGGTCCTGCTTTCACCCTGACTTTCTGCTTAGGTTCCAAGCAAAGCATGAGAGCCTCAAAGGGTTAAGGAGACAGGAGGTCAGGGTGGCTGGAAGGCATGAGACAGGGCTCTGGAGAAGAGGAAGCTCTAGAATAGCTTATCAGGCAACACAGGAGATAAAATGAAATTATGAAAATACCCAATTAAACCAAAGAATACAGAAAGAGAAAAAGAATGCAAAGAGGACAAATAGAAAACAAATGATCATTTGGACAAAACAAAAACCCATTTTATATATAAAGACACAGACACGTTAAAAGTAAAAGGATGGAAAAAGATGTACATACCACACAATACCATGAAATCTGGACTGGCTATAAAAATGTCAGATATAGCAGATTTCAGGACAAAGGATATTACCAAGGACAAAGAGGGACACTTCATAATGATAAAAGAGTCACTCCATTAAGAAAGTGTTAACAATCCAAAATGTATGCAGAAATTCAAATTACATGAAACAAATCCCTACGTAACTAAAAGGAGAAAAAGAAAAATGTACAATTAGAGTCACAGAAACTTCCACTGCGCTCTCTCAGTAAGTGACAGAACCACCAGAGAAAATCAAGTTGTTCTATATAAGACTTGAACACTATCAACCAATTTGGCCTAACTGACACAGTACACTCCACTCACAATAGAACATACATACTTTCCAAGTGCATGTGGTACATTCACCCAAACTGATTATATGATAAGCCATAAAATAAGTAACGGTATATTTTAAAAGGATTAAAATCAGGCAGGATATAATCTCTGATCACAACAGAATTAAATGAAAAATAAACAACAGAAAAGTTTCTGGGAAAAACAATAGTTGGAAATTAAATTACATACTACCAATAAACTTGTATAAGTGAAAGAATAAATCACAAGAACTGAATGAAAATAAAAGCACAACACATCAGAGTATGTGGAATGCAGCTGAAAATAGTGTTTACATGGAGATTTATGATTTTCTTTTTTCTTCAAAGATACAGGGTTGCATTCTGTTGCCCAGGCTAAAATGCAGTGGTACGATCAAAGCTCACTGTAACCTTGAACTCCTGGGCTCAAACAATACTCCCATCTCAGCCTCCCAAGTAGCTGGGACTACAGGCATGCGTCACCATGCTCAGCTATTTTTCAAAATTTTTTTGTAGAGACGAAGTCTTGCTATATTGCCCAGGCTGGTCTCAAACTCTTGGGCTCAAGCAATCTTCCTGCTTTGGCCTCCAAAGTGCTAGGATTACAGGAATGAGCCATTGTGCCTGGCTGAGATTAACAACTTTAAATGCTTATTTTAGAAAAGAAGGTCCAGAGTTATTCAAGCTTCCTCTTTAAAAAGCCAGAAAAAGAGCAAATGAAACCCAAAGAAAGTAAAAGCAGAAATCAATGAAACAGGACAACAGAGAAAACTCAATAAAACCAAAAGTTGGCTTTTTTTTCTTTTTGAGACAACGTTTCACTCTGTCACCCAGGCTGAGTGCAGTGGCATTATCTCGGTTTACTGCAGCCCTTGCCTCCTGGGTTCAAGTGATCCTCTCACCTAAGCCTCCTATGTAGCTGGGAATATAGGCACGTGACACCACAGCCAGCTAATTTTTGCCATGTTGCCCAGGCTAAAGCTGGCTTTTGAAAAGATCAAAACAATTGATAAACTTCTAGCTAGGCTGGTTATGTCAAAGTGGGAAAAAGAAATGACGTACATCAGGAATGAAAATGAAACATCTCTACAGATCTTACAAACATTAAGAGAATAAGGAAATACACACAACCTTATATCAACAGACTTAAGATGAAATGGATAAATTACTTGAAAGACACAAATTATAAAAACAGACACACAAAAAATTAGAAAATTTGCATAGCTCCATATCTAGAAAGAAAAAGAATTCACAATTAATTTCCTGCAAAGAAAATTTCAGGTCTGCATGACTTCACTAGGGAACTAAAGATTTAATTAAAGAACAATCATACATAAAGTCCTCAAGAAAACAGGAGGGAACACTTCTCACTTCATTTTATGAGGCCAGCATTCCCCAATGACAAAACCAGACAAAAATATTAAAATAAACTCAAAATATTCCTTATGAACATATAAATATTTAATAAAAATTAAAATCTTTAATAAAAAATAGAAACCCCAACTAGAGTTTATCCTAGGAATACAAGGTTGGTTTACATTGAAAAGTGAATTTATTTCACTATATTAATAGAATTAAGGAGAAGTACCAAATGATTCAACAGACACAGGAAAAGCATGTGACAAAATTCAACACCCATTCACGACAAAAACTCTCAGCAAACAGGAACAGAGGAGAATTTATTTCTTCAACCTACTCTATGAAAAACCTACAGCTAATGTCTGGAACCAGGCAATGATGTCCACTCTCACCATTCAGCATCGTTCTGAAGATGCTAGTCAGTGCAGTGAGACAAGAAAAAGAGAGGCAGATAAATATGAAAGGAAGAAAAACTGTATTCAGAGATGATATGATTATATATGTGGAAAATCCCAAAAAATATGTTTAAAAGTTGCCAGACTAACAAATGAGTTTTTACAAGGTCACAGAATACAAGGTCACAACACAAAAACCAATTGCATCTCTAGAGACTAGCAATACACAACTGGAAAATGAAATTTAAAAAACACCACCACTTTACAATAGATTAAAACGTGCATGTCTTGTAAATTGAACACTAAAAAACATTGCTGCTGAGAGCAACTGAAAAAGACCTTAATAAATGAAAAATTTAACATGTTCTGGATTGAAAGCCTCAATTGTTGTTCGGATGTCAATTCTCCCCAAACTCATTTACAGATTCCATGAACCTCACTCAAAAGCCAGATGCTTTTATTTCTAGAAGTTGACAAGCTGATTCTAACACTGATACAGAAATGCAAAGAACAACAAAGTCAGAGAACTCACATGAACTGATTTTAAGATTTATTATAAAGCTACAGTAAGCAAGACAGTGTGGTATTGACTTAAGGATAGACACACAAATAGATGGAGCAGACAGAATCAAGAAGTGAACCTGCAAATTTAGGGTCAACTGATTTTTAATAAAGGGGCCAAGTTAACTCAATGGGGCAAGTTCAGCAATCTGCAAAATGTCACAGAACTAATAAGCAGCCATGCCAGAGTTCACATCCTGCTGGACAGCAGGTGGGCTCACCAGCCAGTTTCCTTCACTCCCACATCTGTCTCAACACAGAGGAGTGACCCTGCTAGAGGGGACTCGGACATGGTCCTATCAGCTCTGCAGGGACCTTCTATAGGTTCCCCTCATCCTTTCAGCACCAGTGTCAGGTCCAGTCATGATTGGGGTCACCTAGGAATTAAGTGGCTGTCATGGAATTTCTCCACAGCTGCTGTGTGAAGAACAGCAAAAGTGACAGGTGATGAATAACAAAAGTGATGTATAATTAACCGAAAATACAAGAGGGCTATGGAAATTTTAAAGCCTCACACCAGAGCTTTTCTCTGAGATGCAGGAAGGAAAGAGCTCTCAAAGGAATGAAGTTCTTTCAAAAACCTAAGTCCCTAAAGTAAAAATATAATGAAAGGGCCCCACAATCCTCCCTTCAGTGAGGAAGAATCTGGCTGATTTTCAGTGACAATTCACAAGGAACTATAGAGAGAAGTCTAACTTGGCAAGGGAAAGTGAGTGTGGGAAAGGTGTGTCTCTGCAGCATTTTAGATGACTGCAGGATGGGCCCTGGTGTGATGCGCCTGAGCCCTGCTGCCTGCGTAGGAGGGTGAGCTCTGGTGTCAGGCCTTCAATTTGAGGGCTTGTCCAGTAGCTGGGTGATCTGTGTGGAATATTTAACCTCTTTTTGCTTCAGTTTCCTCATCAGTAAAATGGGGATCATAATTATATCCCTACTACAACATGGGCTACTCTGAGGATTTGATAATATATAGAAAGCACTTAGAACAGTGCCTAGCACTTGGTAAGTGCTCAAGAAATGTTAGCTCTTCTGTCACAATCCCTGGTCCTCATGTTTTTGATATGGTTATGACATCGATTCATAGCTCCTTGTCCCATATGTACTGTGGAAACAGGGTGGCACTGTAAAAAAAAAAAAAAAAAAAAAAAACCTGGACATTCCAGTTCCATGGGCCTGGCTCTGCTTCTTCCTGGGTGCCTTCAACTGAATCTCAAGTTTTATAGCTGCTAAAAAAAAAATCCTCATCCATAAATGGAACTTACATTACTGTTCTCTCAAGGCTGAGGTAACGGTGAGAGAGATGAAAGTTTAGTAAAATGTTTATCATAGTGCCTGGCACCACAAATCATCAGTAAATGGGAGCTAATATTATAATTCTTATTATTTTGCACTCCTAATATCAGGAATGAAACCTAGTTCTCTGACTACTGTGTCAGGATAAGACGACTTGAAAAAGGGTTTATATTGTTTAGGGGCAGGTTTTAAAAACATAAGTAGTCTATGACTCACTAGTGGGTGTCACTGTTAATACTGGGCCTGTTAGACTGGAAAATGCAACAGCTCAAACTAAAAATCCACCTGGAATTTTGGCCTAAGCTGCCTCTTAATTTCATTGTAGGACACAAAGGCTCCTGTTCAAGACCCGTATTTTTTTCTTTTCCTTTCTTTTCTCCTTTCTGCATGACCCACAGCTGCTTTGAGGGCTGTGTTAGGTGCACACTTCTGGCCCTGCCTCAGTAGTCTCTGCTCCATGTACACCTGCCTCCCTCCACTCACTAGGCAGAAATACCCAAACAGGGAGAGAATGACCCATATAGTGTTTCTACAAAGAGGAACAGAGGATATGCTGGGAATTTGCACCGTAAGGAGGAAACTCAACCCTGATGAGCAGACTGTGGTAAGCCAAAAAGCCGTCAAAAGAGCTCAGGTTCTGGTCATTGAGGGCTAATGACCTTGAAACATTCTCCCTGCAAAAACTGCAAAGAGGAGCCTTCCCTGTTAAATTCAGTTATTTGTAGATGACAAGCAGACAAGCAGAGGGAGCTAACATTGCCTGTGCCTGATTTTTTTATGATGCTTTCATATACATCTAATTATGTAATTCTCTCTATACCCTGTGACATAGCTATTATTCTACCACCCCTCATTTTACAGGGTGTCCAAGGTAAGCTGAAAGTAGAGTAGTTGGCATTAGTATCCAGGTCTATCCTACATTTTCTGAACTGGTAGATACTGTGGGCTCTATCTTGCCTGTTAACCACTTTGAGAATCTGATGAAACCATAGTCTTTCTACCTAGGAGAACTAAACAAAAGCACAGCCTTTCAAGGAAATGCATGAGTACACAAAATGTTCCTACGCTTCTGGTGGATGTCAAGGACATCCTGAAATTCATGGACCCTATCTCAGTGCATATAATGTAAGACCCCCGTAAAAATCCTCAACAGCCTGAGCCCATCCCTGGAACTTTAGGAAACCAAAGAGCAGAAAGGTAATCCTAGGAGCCTGGCAGGGAAATCTAAAGGGGTGGCAAACTACAGTCCAAGGGTCAAATCCAGCCTGTCACCTATTTTTGTAAATAAAGCTTTTAATTGCAATACAGACATGCTCATTCATTTGCATATCATCTATGTCTGCTTTTGCTAAGTAGCAGCAATGGAGACTGTAGGGCAACAAGCCTCAAACACTTATTATCTATCCCTTTACAGAAAATGTTTGCCAACTTCTGACCTAAACCATGATGGAGAGATTATACCATTTCTTCTAAGGTTAGTTTGTAGTACAGAAAATAGTAAAGGGTTTCTGCCAGAAAAGACATCATTCCAAAATTGTTAAGATTAGGAGAAGCAAAGAAAAATGAAACATCTGTCAACAGAAACTCCTGATAAAACTGTAAGTTGCTGAGGTACTGAGCTGCATTCCAACTGGCAATGCCTTTTCAACAGGCACGAAATATGTAGGATAACAAAATCTCTTGTCTGAGGGGGGAGGTTAAGGTAATAATGATGGTTAAATGCTCCTGCCAATTATAGTAATGTAAGAATTAACCACCAAGTCTCTTAATCAAATGATGTTTGGGAAAGGAGCTCAAGGATTATGTGCACAATGAGAAAAGAAGGTGGTAAGGAGAGCTTTGTGAGACAACAGATAATTCCTGAAGGAAAGGAGGGAAGTGACACTGACAAGCAAGTTGTATCACAAGAGGGAAACTTTACAGGTGGCTAGAATAAGGAATACGAAAATTCCAGGATCTCTTGAGGGGAAAAGTCAAGTGTCTCAGTGCAGTCTTTCCCTTCAGACCCGTTGGACTTACGTTATCCAGGTCCTTCCGTAGTGCAATCTTGCTGGTCACCAGCTCATGGGCTAAGTCATCATTTTCCTGTTCCAATCTCATGTTAGCTTCTTGTAGACGCCTATTCTCCCGCTGAAGAGTAGAAAGAAACCAGTTATAGACACATAAAAATCAGATGGAAATGTCATTTCTCAGGGCTAAACCTCAAAATAAATTTCTAAGTCCTATGGAAACAGTAAGATAAATGGCTGGACCTCATGTGCTTCCAAATCAACAATTACTTATTTTCTAGCTCCATAAAGAAATACTTAACTGATTCAAGTGACCTTGTCAAGCAGCTACTATTTACTAACTGTGACGAAAAGCCACTGAACTATAACAAACCAGGCAGCTGGTCTGAAGCAAAAACAGATCTTGCTTGCTAATTTGCAAACTCAAACTAAAACTTGAACCTACAGAGGAACTGAATTTTAAAAAGGACTCAATGAAGCTAGTTACAAGCACAATCATAGGAAATGAAAGCCTGGGAGCTCCTCACACGTAGGCCATAAGCAAACCAACCTCAAATCGCTCGATGGGGTCTTCTTGCTGGGCCTGCTGTTCCCTCATGGTGTGATACTCTTTCTCGTATTTTTTCAACTTCTTCTGACTAATCTGTAGGATAAATCATAGGGTAAATTAAGAAGTATTAGAAAGTAGTGGGTGCTTCAGTGCCTGCACTGAAGACGAAGACTTCTGGTGGCCTGGGCAATCTCAGTCATTATGGACGTGGTATTTCCTATTTTTTGGGAGGGAAATCATCTGAGTAGGGTATAAGCCCAGGACCCCAAATTTTCAATGTGTTTCGAGTTCTGTTGGAGATGTTTGGTTCCTAAGGCTTTAACTGACAGTATTAGAATGAACACCCTACAGATGGCTCCTCCTACAAGTTCTAGGTCCTATTTGTCCCTAATAATAATAATGCCACCATTTTATTTAGTACATATGAGTGCTGCTGCTAAATCCTTTAAATCTGTGACCTCACAACACCTCTACAAAGTGTGCTATTCTCATCCTCATCTTATAGGCAAGTTAACTGAGGTATAAGGAGGTTGGTTATGTAACTTGACCAAAGTCACACAATAAGGGATTGGGAGATCTGGGATTTGAGCCCTGGCAGTTGGACTCCATCTGAAGTCCTCACTATCCTAGCACCTCTCTATCCCCTCCCTTTCCTCTCTCCTACCTCCTTCCGTGCTGCTTTCAAATAGACAATTATCTCTACCCTTAAAAACACAGCTCTGCTGACTACTCTGCTTAGATGCCCTCTCACCCCATCCGATTATTGTTCTCTTTCTCTCAAGCCTTTTCTTACAAACCATTGCAAACCACAGGCCTAGATCTTCACCTCTGTTGCTTCAAGACCTGCCCCTCCTTAATGTAAGTCAGGCCTTTGCTCTGACTTCTCTATGAAAGAACCCTGTTGAAGGTCTCCAGTGGTGTCTTTTTACTCTGTCCAGTGGTCTTACATCTCCCCAACTAAACTTCAAAACTCCCTGACTTTCATGCTTTAACATGACCAATCCACTCTGATTTCTTCTAGAAAATCTTTTCTCCCTTTATTCTCTTGGCTTTCCTTCTATGTAACAGGCTTTCCCCTCTTTACTGGTTGGTTCTGTCTCCTTCTTCAAGCTAAATTATAACCAAGGGCAACACACCTTCAAGATGTAACTGCCTTTTTTTTTCCTCTTTGAGACAGGGTCTCTCTATCACCCAAGCTGGAGTGCAGTGGTGTGATCTCAGCTCACTGCAGCCTTGACATCCTGTGGTAAGTTGATCCTCCCGCCCCAGCCTCCCAAGGAGCTGGGACTACAGGCACACAACACCACACCTGGCTGATTTTTACTTTTTTCTAGGGATGGAGCTTTGCTATGTTGCCCAGGCTGGGTGGTGACTATCTTTCCTTCCTTTGAACAGCTAGCCATTCCCTATGACATTTTTAAAAATTACATGTTCAAAAATTATGAGATATAATAGAAAAGTGATTAAAAAAAAAACAGATGTGTGTAGTTTAAAGACTGATTATGGCTGGGTGCAGTGGCTCACACCTGTAATCTCAGCACTTTGGGAGGCCAAGGCAGAAGGATCACTTGAGGCCAGGAGTTTGAGACCAGCCTGGGCAACACAGCAAGACTGTCTCTACAAAAAAATACAAAAATTGGCCAGGTATGGTGGCATGTGCCTGTAGTCCCAGCTACTCAGGAGGCTGAGGTGGGAGGATCCCTGGAGCCCAGGAGGTTGAGAATGGAGTGAGCCAAGACTGCACCACTGTGTCCCATCTGGGTGACAGAGTGAGATCCCATCTAAATATATATTTTTTTAAAAGAATGATTATAAAACTAATGGTCATCCCTTCCTGAAGCTTTAGTAATCAGCACTAAAGTGATGACTTGGAAATCTGTCTGTTAGTCCCCAGGTCCAGGTAACTAGGACTCTCAGATCTACTCCACTCCAAATTTCTTATTTTATAGATGAAGAAGTAAGACCTAGAAAGGGGAAGGGATAGGCCCACGTTTGCTGTGTATTGGTGTGTCTCCAGACGCTCTCAGTGGGAGAGTGTGTTCCTCTCCCACTGACTGTGGACACCTCCCCTAGTCAGGCTGTTTGCAGGTCTGCCTCAATCAGAGCTCTATTTCTGGAGTCTGGCTGTTGCCCAAGGTTAGGCAGCCAGGAAGACAGCATTCTGCTCCAGCTGACCTCTATAGAAAGATGCTCACTCAACACCTGGGGTAAGGCCACAAACTGGAGCAGGACATCTTTAAGCTGAGATCTTCTGCAGTTTCAGGCCAATGCTAGGGTAAACTTCTGCTGTGTACTTAAGTGACTCACGAAGACAGCATCTAAGTAAAATGTTATGCAATCAATAAGTGTATAGACAATCCTAACAGATCATTAGTAGTGGAACAGAAAATAAATGAGGCTGTGAACAGCAAACACTTCATCCCAGTGCTTTTGCATTCTGAGTAAATGGGAGGAAAGGAGGTGGTCAGAGACTCCCATGGCACTTTATTTAAAAAAACGAATTGACACCAAATCCTATAAAACATTTTCACAAATCTTCAAGATTCTTCAACTTTTCATTCTCTTGCTGGATAAGGAAGAATTAACATTTTTCCCCATAGATATATGTTTTAGTAGGCTAACTACAAAACAATGTCTTCTATATTTCATTAACCCTTATTATAGCTGCCTCACCCTCACAGTAATAGGGTTGATTCTCTCTCAGTATCATATGTAACACGAGTGTGTGATAAGTACCTGGTAAATAATAGAACCTTTAAACGGACCAACATCTCATTTGTTTCTTACATTCTCACGATAGGATATGGGTGTTTCTTTTCATTTTTCCTATGTCTTCCAAGTTTTCTGCATTGAGTATGAATTATTTTTATAATTAGGAAAAACAGAAATGCTGTTTAAGTATCATTTTCATAATTATCTAGGGTTTCTCTAAGAGTTCTGCTTGTTTCTCTAGCTGACGGTCTTCATTTACTTCCGAATCAGTCCTCAGGTGTCACCTCTCAGGAATGGGTGTACACAAAGCTCTGCTGTCTTCACAGACTTTGCTGGTCCAGAGTCCTGACTTCTTCACCAGCTCAGTCTTTTCCCCATCTTCACCCTCACCTCTTCTCAGTCTCTCTCTTTCTCCCTCCCACCCTTCCTCTCTCCCTTAAACACTCACCACAAACACAAAATCAATAAAAACACCAAAGCTTCTCATGGGTTGACGGTTGATGCTGACTTTTGCAGCATGTGTCAACTAGTTTAGGCTGCCTTTGAGGCACCAACTCCAAGATAAAGACTGATGCCTGAAACCCGAATGGGGAACCAAAAGGTGCCAGCAGCAGCAGGAACATTTTAAGCCTCCTTTTGAGGCCACACCTGGGAGAGGCCAGCACCTCTTGGCCTGCCTATGACATTATGAATGTCTTCTTCAGGCCAGAACTGTCTCTCACTCATTGTTGTCCCCTGTTCATGCATAGCAAGTACCCAGAAATGCTTGCTAAATTACTGAGAAAGTACTCTCTTTTCCTTGCATTGACTTTTCTTCTGAATGGAAATGGCAACCAAGGTGGGCGTGCAATGCAAGCATGTTCCTTTTGCCTAGACAACCTCACACCTGGCTCACTCCTCTTCACTTTTGGGATTACAGTTCCAATACCCCTTCTTTAGCAAACCCTTCCCTCATACTCTTGTCCTGTCAGGCCAGGTCTTTCAGTTATATAACTCTTCTCATAGCATCAAGTCAATTCCTCCATGGCAGCAATCCAAGCTCACAATTACTTATATTTCTACTTAATTGTCTGTCTTCCCACCAGGAGACAGGCCATGTATGTTATCCTTACTACTGTATCTCCAGTGCTCAATGCTTGGAAAGTAACTGGGACTCATAATAACAGGATGTTAAACAAATCAAAGCCAAAGGCTTTCTTTTTACCTTAATAAAGATACAATAGGGACATTTATTTAACCAGTAGTTGAGCACTACCATGTGCAATGGCATTAGCAATACAAAGACATATATAGGTGCCAACGCACAAACTCCATGAGGGCAGGAAGTCCTATTCATTGTGAAATTCCTAATGCGTTTCACACAGTAAGCATGAAAATACTTAATGAACAGAGATTCAGAAGTCCAAGATTCATTTTCTCTCTCTCTTACTTTTAACTTTTAATTGAATTCAAGAAGCAAGGGAAGCTATGGATTTAGACTCAGAGCTCTGAATCATACCCGCTGTTCACTGATTCCTATCAGAAGGCTTTGGAAATCACAGCTTCACACAGAGGTATTTTTGCCCTCAAAGAAAATTAAATTTGAAATTCAATCCTTGTTCTGTTTAAATATACTTTGTGGGGGGAAAAGAAGCCTAACAAATACTTATGACTGGGTTTGTTGGTAAAACCAACCTTATACCCCCACTGTATTAGCACCAGGACTCTTAACACCATTAGAAATAGCACTACTTGAAAGTCTTTTGAGAGCCATGGTTCCTCTCTAATAAAGAGTGCACAGAAGCCAACTTCCCCTCTCCCTCCACAATCAAACATTCTACATAGCATTTCAGAGGGCTCATGGACCCCCTGAGGCCTGTGCATTGTCCCAGATTAAGAAACTTTAAATTAGAGAGAAAGTACAGACTTGATACTTGCCAGTTTATTTTGATAGAAGCACAAATTCAGTCGAAAACATCTCTCCTTTGGTCACTCACTTGTCATTAATCTGTCACAGGAACTGGATAATGTGCTGTCTTAAAATCTATGCCACTTGCCCTGGGTAAGCTGGTCTCTGATCAGCCCCTGGAATAGATAGTGACGGCAAGGGCCACACACATGGAGAAAGAGTGAGAGTGGCTGCTCACCTGGGCAGGCGTGACATGGTACAACCTGCCCACTAAGAGCTTGGGCTGTGCAGGTGGAACGGACCAAGGCTGGAGTCCTGGTTCTTCCAATAACTTACTGTGTGATCAAGGGCAAGCTGCCTAATCTTAAGCCTCTATTTCCTCATCTGTAAAAATCCTAACAGTCCTTATGAAGACTACTGTTATGAAGATCAAAAAACAAAATACATATAAAGTCCTCAGAAAAGTTCCTAGCACACAGTGGAGTATTTTCAA